GCAGCCCCGCCCGCGGCCAGGCTGGCGGCGGCTAGCCGGCTCAGCGGTGGCACGCAGTCCGCCGCGGCGGCGAGAGAGGGCGCGCAGTCAGGCGCGCGCAAGAGGGCTGCACCCGCGGCCGGCAGTGCGGGCGCGGCGAGGCGGAGGGTCGGCGGCGGCGGCGCGCCGCCGTCCGCGAGCATGCTGACGATGGAGGCGTTCTTCCTCCGCCGGCCGGAGGCGTGAACGTGCGCGGGGTTGTTATTAATGGCGTTCCTACTGCCTCACAGACGCGGTCAGAGAGCGCCGTGGGCGTGGCGTGTCGCGTCCAGAGCGCGAGCGCGAGCAGGTCGAGGAGACTCGGAGTCGGCTCTTCTAGCATCTGCGAGGTGTGCCGGCCGGCCGACGGCGAGGTGTAGGATCCTATATACAGCGTACAGGTTGAGGGTAAAGCCGGGGTAAGGGTAAAGTAACCCAGAACCGCCCCATCGCCCATCCCATGAGGTAGGATGGGTACACAGGGGGTAGAAACGGCCGAGGGCGGGGCGGGCGCGCCCCGGTGGCGGTGCTCTCCTCGGCGGCTCGGCTCTCAGCGTCCGTCGCAGGCCCGCCGCCCGCGGCCCGGCTGTCCCAGCGCCGCCTTGTGCATGCCAAGGGCGTGCCACTTGAACTATGATCCCAACGCTCTCTTGGTACACCGGGTGCACCGGGACCCAGCTGTGAAGAGTCCGCAAGGGTCCGTGCCAAAATGGCCAAAATCGAGCCTGATTTTGCCGACTCTGCAGTGGCCGCAGGCGGTGATGGCGGACGCCGACGAGCCTCACGCGCCGGGCCCCACCTCAGACAGTACCTCCGGTGGGCTGCATCCACTCACCGCGGGGCTGCTCGCTCGCCATGATCGTCGATGTGCACCGACGGCGACCGCCCTCTCGAAGCGCCCGGCTGACTGGCCAGCCGCCGAGCAGGAGCGAGCAGCCGTTCGAATCCGCGGTGCAGCGCCGCGGATGGCGAACCTCGAGCCGGTGGAGAAGACCGCGGTCGTGTCGGACTCGTTCGGCGCCGATGCGGCGCCAGCAATTCGGGCGCGGCCGACTCGCTCCAGTTCGGCGCAGCTCGCCTTGGAGCCCACCGCGCTCTTAAATCGCCTCGAGACCATGCTCCTCGGCAACCATCCCGTCCCCGCACCCTCCAACGAGGTCAGCATCGTCGGCGAGGTCACCAACGGCATCATCATCGCCGCGAAAGCTGCCGTAAACACGCTCTTTTTGTCGCAGCGGCGCGGCGCGCTGATGGCTCTCCAGATAAAGAACCTGAAGAAGGCTGCGCTGGCGTACCTTGTGTGGGACCTACGCGGCGAGCTGGCGGGCGCGCGACTCGAGCAGGCGGTCGTGTACGGCAAGCGGCTCGAGACACACGCGAGCGGCGTGGACAAGGAGTTGGGCAAGTGCAAGCGGCGGCAGGCGGGCGCGGAGGCGCTTCTCGCTGTCGTTCCAGAAACTTTGCAGGACGTGCCGACGCCAGAGGAGCCCGCGGTCGAGGAGGAGCCGGCTGTCGAGGACCTGCCTGCCAGCGACTCCCGTCCCGACGACGCGTCTTCGGACAGCGATCGGGAAAGCGTCTTCGAACGCCGGGTGACCCGTCGGATGATCGACGCGGGCCTGAACGAGGCGCAATTCGATGATATGCGGAACGTTTACGGGATTCAGCTCGCCCACGAGGACAAGTGCCACGAGTGTGCCAAGCTGCAGGCTCGGGCAGTGAAACTGTATGATATGCTCCTCCCGTACCTCGAGCGCGACTGGGTGCCACTGGAGGAGGCCCTCCAGCGGCTCGACCTTGTAGACGCTCGTAAACGCTCGGGTACCCCGGGTCGTGGGTATGATAGTGACATAACATACGTGTGATACACTACCAAAACAGGGCCGCGGGGGGGGCGTTGGGGGCCGCTGGAGGACCGCTAGACCCTTCCCGGGCCCCTCCGGGGGGGTCCGGGTGCACCCGGCAGATGGCGTCCCCAATTTCACCCAAGCCGTTCTCTACGATGGCGCCTGCGGCCAGAGCAGGCAGGCTTTTGTCGCCACCTGTTGGTCGGGAAAGAGCCTTGCACGCCTTACACACGTCACAACTCACATCGGCGCGCGTGCTCGGCAAAGATCAAAAACGGAAACCAATAGGAAGGAACCAAAATTCATAGCTCAACTAAGTGATTGGATACATAAGTGCCGATATGCTGTCCATCTAGCCGATCGGAGGAGGCGGCTATGCAGATCCTGAGCTGTGAGCGTCAGGGCGGAGCACGGAGCAGGCAGTTGATCCGTCGACATCACAAGCCCCACCGTCGACGAGCTGCTGTAGCGGTCAAGTGATCGACCGCAGCAAGCGCGATGATCACGGCAGCGCGGTGCGCGGTGTGATGCCGCTGGACGAGCGAGGCATCCTTTGGAAGGATTCCGCGGACCTTATACTCGTGTCCTTCTGTACCGGCTAAATTGGTTTATTATATATGTATTTAGTTTAGGTTTGAGCCGCGCGTAAGGCCTTAGGGGCCCAGAGAACACAACCCCCTCTCTCTTTTATTAAATGAACTCGGGGGCACAGGACGCGGCACAAACGGGGTACACCAAAAGGCACGGGCTGCCTGCACGGCGTTCACTCGAACGCCATGCACATGGCGCGGAGCAGCCCCGGGTTGGTGTCGAACCCGAGCGGGTCCTCCTCCCTCTCTCTTTTCTCCCAGTAAGCTAAAAGTAGGTTTGTTGTTGGCAAATCAGGACACAGAGCTCACGCAAATTCACAGTGGAGGAAAGCGGCGAGTCGCATTTCCCGGGGCGTGGCGGGCCATTATGTGTCTTGGTTTGAGAGAGATTTTAGAAAACCAACAAGAAATCTTCTTTGGTTTGCCAACAACATACCTAAAACTAAAATGTGGGATGTGATAGGTCTGTTGTTGGCAAGCGGACAGAGAGAGCTCACACAAGATCACAGCTCACACACGCACGATCACATGGACATGCCACATGGAACGAATCTAATAGTAATACATGCAACATGGAGAGGAAAGCGAACGCAGGAACGAGTCGCTTTCAATCGTCGATCGAATCTAATAACTAATGTGTCTTTCACACAAGCTCGTACTTGCACTAGTAAAGTAGGTAGGGGACAACGCAGGACCTTTCAAACTCGGTGTCGAACCACCAGCCCGACACGCGCACTATCTAGATACAGTTTACGGCTTTAGGGAATGGCGAAAAGAGGGGGGCGTCCCGGTCCTAGCGCAGCGGCTCGTCATCCCCGTCTCCGAATGACGAACTCGACCTCTTCCTTTGTTCGACTCATCCAGCAGGATAGCAAGACGCTGTGCGTGCCGGGCGTCACCTTTGGCGGCGGAAACGGCAAGATGTGGGTGCACAACTGCCGTGGCGTCTTTCAATGCCACGGTGCCACTTCGGGTCCAAACATTGCTTGCGGCTACCCGCCCGGCAAAAGGCTGTACCACTGCGACTGCGACGGCCCGCCCGGCACCAACGGCGCGGTGGCGAGGGAAAGCGGGCCACAGCTTCGCACATTTGGCGTTAACAGTCGCCCGCCCTGGGAGGATCCCTACCTGCTGACAGTGGCTCTGCAGTACTTCAACATGTCATGGAACATCCGGCTGCTGGAACGCTGGAAGGGTTGTGAGGGAGTGGAACTGCTCGTCAACGTGGACTCCCGCTTCGAAGGTGACCTCGAGTGGCTCAGTACGTCTGCGGATCACGTCATATTCTCGCGCAACATCCACGAGATACGCGCGTACAACAAGATGGCGCGCATGGCACGCGCTGACTTGATCGCCTTTGTGCAGGACGATCGCGCCCCTCCAATAGGGTGTGAGTACCTCAGCCATTTGCGGCAGATGTTTGCGACGGACCGCACTCTCGCGGTTGTGGGAATGAACGTCGCGACCAACACACCGTGGAATTATGGAAACCACATCCGGTACACTCATCCAGCACGCTGGTGGCACGGCGGCGGGTTCAAGGCCGAGTATGCCGCGTGCGTCGACATCGGCCCGCTGGTGGCTCGCAAACGAGACTTTTTCGCGATGGGAATGTTTGACTCAAACTTCAGCCCTCCAGGGCGTGGGGGGATAGGCCTGGACTTTGACCTGTCGATGCGCGCGTGGCTCAGCAATCGCAGTGTTGCCATGTACCATGCCGATAGCCTCCCTGGCATCGTCAGAGCTGACGGTGTTGTCGGTCGCAAGCAGGCAGCTTATTACATAGGCAGAAGTCATTGGGTTCATGCCTATGTGAAGGGACGGTTTGACGGCTACCGCAGTCGCTACGATTGGATCGTTGGTCGCGTCAAGGAGCTCAACGGCGGGATAGGCCGCGTCCGAGTCGTGTGAGCGCGGCAAGTCTGGTCGACACCATCCCGACTTAGTAAGGTCCTGTTGGCACGAAATTATTTATGCGTACCGCACATGCACATGCGCATGTGCATGTCACATGCACATGCACATGCCACATGCACCCCCCGCCTCTATACATCTTCAAGCTCACACCGGCTCGTGAAGTCACGGAGAGGGCTCGAGATTGTCTCCGGTGGACCCTCTGGGGTGGCGCGGGGCCCCCCGGCCCACACCGTGCGCCGCGCAGCAGTGCGGAAACGGGGCCCGGCGCTCATACTCGCTCATACTACCACAACTTCCCGAATGATCACGGTTGATCAGAGGGCAGATTTGGAGAGATCTTAAGGAGTACATACAGATAGACCCTCCAACCATCAGAAACCTCCAACCTGATCGGTCGTAATGACCGCCGACAGATCACTCCAGACAGCAGACAGAGGCCGACGTATGCACGCGGCCGGCCGGGCGAGAGGCTTGACACGATCCGGCCCTGCGACCCTGACGCTGCTGCTCTAGCTATCAGACATGCGCTGCTGACTGCTGCCACAATGTGCGACCAAGGCTGGCCCACTTGGCGGCCTTCCCGGTCAGTGGTGAGGCGCAGTTCAGAGCTGTCGATGGCGCGATGCCGCACTGGTCCCACATTGGTGACACGATACCACCAAGTTTGCCGGTCCAAGAGAGAGGCACCGGCGCTGTCCTGAGAAGTGCGTGGTCCCTCTTGACTGCCCATGCGCGTGAGGCTGTGTAGGCATAGCCTCGAGAGTGCCAGCAGCCAATCCGAGGCAGTTTGTGACGCGCATTGCGTCAGAAGCGTGCACACGATGGAAGGACACCTTCCTACTGGCCGTAGGATCAGGTCGTCACTGAATGCTGGATACTAAGGCCGCGAGCTATGCAGGTGATCAATTGTGCAGCATCGCACGGTCAGCAGCGCCGACAGGCTGTCGCAAGGCGTGATAGCATGGCCGCAAAGTACGCCGAAAACAAGTAGAAATGTCGTTTTACTGTGGACCACATCCTGGTCAGCGTGTCGTCGTTTGGTCTCTGCGCCCCCGCCGTGTCCGCCCAGGTGTCGATTGCCGTTAGCATCGCTCGCATACCGGCCTCTCCTCTCTCTGCCGCTTGTTCGATGCGGTCGCGGGTGCTGACGGTATCAATTTTGTGTCTTGTGCCTCCTTGAGCGCTTCTAGCTTCGCGCCCCCCATCGCCGCGATGGTCCGGTGGCGCTCCCACGTCCGTTTCGTCGCGCCCTTCCATTTAATTAGGTATTCCCATCGTTCGGTCGCGTCCTCTCCCGTCTCCCCCGTTCGTCGTGCCCCGTCGATTTGATCGTACGCCCATTTGTCTTCGCCCTTTACTTGTCCATTTCGAATTCCCCTCTGCTCCGTCGACGCGTCCGCCGCCATTCGAATGGCTATTCTCTGATCACTTCTAAGTAAGGGTAAGCCCACCGCCACCGATGCAGAGGTGGAGGAGGCAGCGAGTCTTGCCAATGCGCACACGTTCATCACGACTGATCTGAGCGAGGGCTACTCGACCCAAGTCGGTCTGCGTGGCGGGCGGCTGTCTGGCGGGCAGAAGCAGCGTGTCGCAATCGCCCGCGCGCTGGTTCGCAAGCCAGCAGTGCTGCTTCTGGACGAGGCTACGAGTGCGCTGGACAATCACTCCGAGAAGGTGGTGCAGGGGGCGCTCGAGGCGATCACAGCGGCGGCCCACTTCACGACGATCACGATTGCTCACCGGCTCTCCACCATCCGACACGCGCACAAGATCGCCGTCGTCCAGGCAGGTCAAGGTTGTGGAGGACGAGGAGGGCACACACTCTGAGCTCCTCGATCGAGATGGTGTATATGCGAAACTCGCCATCCGAGAGCCGAGTCCCTAGTGTCGCCGTGGAGCAGGTAGCTCCCTTTTTCGCACAAGAATGTTCCTGTTACGACTTCACTACCGCCTATTACATTTTGTTCCGCATCGCGGCCACAATCGGGTCCTCCCTCCCCTCCTTGGCCTGCGGCCCCGACGTCCTCCCTGTCACGCCCTCGTTGATGTAGTTGGTGGGCAGCTCGACCGCGCCGCAGCGCGGCTGGCCGGCCGCCGCCGCGTCGCCGCACGCCTCGTGCGGCAGCATCGGCGGCCGCTGCACCCCTCGCGACACATTCATCAGGTGGACGGGGTGCTTGCGGCAGCCCGAGCGGCGCTCCGCCTTGCACGCGACGAAGTAAGGGTGAGCGGAGACGACCCGAGATGACCCGAGATCAGCCGAGATCAGCCGAGATTGCCTTGCACGCGACGAAGTAGGGGTTGTCGGTGGTGTCGCAGTAGTGGTACGGCTGCGACAGCGCGCCCTGCAGCTTCCGGTTGAGCGGCTGCAGCTCGGGCGCGTCGGCGAGGCAGCGGCAGAGGCGGGCGAGGTCTGACACGTCGAGCCGCAGCACTCTAGCGTCGGAGCCGCGGAGCAGCCTCGCCGCCTCGCCGACGGTGGCGCCTAGAAGGTTCCTAGAAGGTTCCTAGAAGGTTCCTAGAAGGTTCCGAGATCTCGCCGATGGTGGCGCCCTCTGGCAGCGTCACGGCGGGCAAAGCGGCGGCAGGCGCGGAAGCCGCGGGCGCGGGCACGGCGGAGGAAGCGGCGTCCGGAGCGACGGCGGCGCCGACGCGCACTGGCGCAGTGCTCGCCGCGAGCTGCGGCGCTATGCGCTGGCTGGCGAAGAAGGTGTGCTCTCTCCACTCGGGGAGCTGCGCCTGCAGGGAGATGTGGGGAGATGTGGGGAGATGTGGGGCGATGTGGGGAGATGTGGGGAGGTGTGGGGAGATGTGGGGAGATGTGGGAGCTGCGCCGTCATCGCGGGCACGTCGAACGAGTGGTCGAGCGGGCAGACGAACGGGCGAGACATCTCCACCTGGGGAGACATGGGGAGACATGGGGAGATAAAGGTCATGATCCATCACCGCATCGGCAAGGCAGTGGTGGCCGAGGGTTACTTCAGGCGGAATGTGTCTGACGGACCACAGCACCCCCCACCCCACCTTGGAGCCGATGAGGCAGTGGTCGAGGATTGTCCAGAAGCGGTCGACCACGCACCAGAGCGGCGGCAGGACGAGAGTGCGGCCAAGTGCGTGCGCGAGCAGGAATCCAACCTGCAACCACTGCCGCTGCAGCGCGTTCAGCTTGAGGTGTGCCATCACGCAGTGCGCCTGTGAGAGTGCTCGAGATTGCAGGAGACTGCTCGAGATTGCTTGAGGTGTGCCACCGCGCAATGCGCCTCGTCCCTCAACGCCGGCAGCAGCAGCTCCGCCTTGTTTGGCGAGAGCTGGCGCGCGAGAGACGAGGTGAGCTGCAGGTAGCTGCCGCTCGTGTAGCGCGAGGCGGGGTCCACCAGCCACAGGCCTAGAAGGTTCCTAGAAGGTTCCCAGAAGGTTCCTAGCGCGAGGCGGGGTCCACCAGCCACAGGCCTGCGTCGCGCAGCCGCTCGCGCTTGCCGTAGGCGTACTTGTCGCCGTCGCCGTACTGGTAGGTTGTGTGGACACAGACGGGAGGCACGCCGACGATGTCGTGCAGCTTCTGGATGAAGAAGGTGTGCCTAGAAGGTGCCTAGAAGGTGCGCCTAGAAGGTGCCTAGAAGGTGCCTACACGGTGCCTAAGACGGTGTGCGCCCGTTCGAGACGCGCGCGATCGGGAAGGTTCCGAGAACGGGCCGCACCCCTCCCGCCCAGCCCCCCTTTGGCCGCTCGCTCCACTTCTGCGCCTCCGGAAGCTCGGCAGGCGCCCCGCCGAACCGTCGCTCGAAGCGGTACACCGCGCGTAGCCGCGGCGCAGAGGCGTCGAAGGACGCCGACTCGACGGGGAGCGGCGGCAGCGGCCGCGTGGCAGAGCCGTTGCGGCGGGCAGCGAGCGCCTCAGCCACCCAGCTGCGTCGCACGCCGGCGGGCGCCGCCTTGAGGTCGAGGAAAGTGCGCGGCTTGAGCACTTCGTTGAGCCAGAACTGGTCGTGGTTCGGGTTGCGCTGCCTAAAAAAGAAATACACCGCGTCAAAAAGAAATACTCCTTCAGCCAGAACCTGGTCGTGGTTCGGGTTGCGCTGCCGGATCGCCTCGCTCATCGCAGCGCGCCACTCGTCCAGCACCTGTAGACATATCTCGGACGTGTCATGGACGTGTCCTGGACATGTCACAGCAGCGCGCCACTCGTCCAGCACCTAGAAGGTGCCCAGAAGGTTCCTAGAAGGTTCCTAGAACATTTCTAGAAGGTTCCTAGCCACTCGTCCAGCACCGCGAGAGCGCCCGCCGAGGCACGGAAGAAGACGACGCCCGTGTTGAGCTCGGAGTCGACGTGCCTAAAAAAGAAATACGCGGCGTAAAAAAGAAATGCACGGCGCCGGTGTTGAGCTCGGAGTCGACGTGCCAGCGGTGCTTGTCGCAATCGAGGTACTGCTGCACCTGCCCACGGGTGGGGCGGATGCAGTCTTGATTCACGGTGGATGCGTGTGCTTGTCGCAGACGCGCAAGTACTGCACCACTGCCAGAACGGGTCTTGGGCATCCTGATCCGCGTTCCATGGACTGCACTGTGACGGTGACTGCACACCTGGTCGACCGACAGCACGACGTCCGCCAGCGCGAGCAGCGACGCCTCTTGCTCGACGGCGCCTGTGGACATGGCCCGGGCATGTCCTGGACGTGTCCTGGACGTGGCCCGGCGCCTCTTGCTCGACGGCGCCGTTCTCCGCGGGGGCGGAGCGGACGGACGAGTAGCGGACGAGTGGCCAGGGCGGGCGCAGCCAGGCCACGTCGACGTCGGAGACCATGACGTCGTAACCTTCTCGTGAGAGGAAGAGTCGGCTCACTGATTGGTGGTGGGTGCTCGGACACCACCGCGCACGTCGCCTTCTCGGAGCACGGCGCGGATGAAGAGCTGCTTGACGAGGCCCATCGCGAGGAAGGTGCCTGCCACCAAACCATTCCTTCTTGGCTAACGAAGAGCCGCTGTGAGGAGCCACATCGCGAGCTGCCCGGCCGGTAGCGGTAGTAGCCGCTCGTCTCCCTCAGCTGCGCCGTGTGCTCGCCCACGCCTCCTCCTCCGCCTCCGCCGCCGCCGTCGGCTGGCGGAGCAACTGCGGAAGCGATGCTCCTGTCCTTGCAGAGGTCTGCGACGGGACCGTCGAGCGCTCCGACGAGGTAGGGCCCCGCCGCGTCACCGAGGCGGCGGACGTGCTCCACCCAGTTGAGCAGAAAGTCCGACATCGAGCCCGACCCAAAGGTGAGCATCGCGGTGCCCTGACTCGATGAGCCGCGGCCGCAGCCCCACAGCTCGCGCGCTGCGCCGTTCAGCTGCAGCTCCGGGAAGGGAGCCGGCCCTTCGCAACGCGCTCTTTTGGCGACGCCGACCTCTCCTCTCGCGGCCGCAGGCGCTGCAGCGGCGGCGGCTGACGGCGAGGCCTCTGCGCTGCGCCGCCTGCCGCTGCCACCGGCGCCGGCGGCGACGCCGGGCTGAAGCGCCGTCAGGTGTCCAGCGCTGCTGCTGCGGCGGAAGGCCACCTGCGTCACAAAGAGCAGGACCAGGCCGGCCGCGGTGAGGAGGCGGCCCGATCTGGGAACCATAACGAGCGATGAGCGGCGCCAAACTATCGAGTACTGTCGACTTCACAGACCTTGTTTGTTTGACAAGAAAATACGTCCGGTGGCGCTTTGCGCTGGTCTGTGAGAGGTTGAGGTGCGAGCCCTGGAGGCCCTGGGGATGGGGGGAGACTACCCGCGGGCCTAGAAGGCCCGCGCGCAGAGGGGTGGGACATTGAGATTGAAGGCGGAGGCGGCGGCGGCAGGTGCTTGGCGGGTGCGGCTGGGAGCGGCAGAGGGTTCAGGATCCGGGCAAGCGCGGATCTTAGAAGAGGGGTGGCTTTGGTTGGTCACGATCGGGACGGATGACACGTCTGATGCAGACATGCGGTCACCCTCGATTCCTGTTCACAGACCTGACAGAGTCCTGACAGAGTCCTGACAGAGTCCTGACAGAGTCCTGGCGGGGTCCTGACGGCGCACGGTCTTCACAGTGCTCACAAGTGCCTCCGACGAGACCTCCACCTTCCTTCACTGCAACCCTCCTTCCCCTCCCCCCCAGCAGTGAATGATAGACGCCCAGCCCCCCTTTCGACCGTGCGCGCCCTCTGCGGAATCGTCCTGATGGGGCAGTCCTGACGCAAACTTGAGAGTCCTGACAAGCAAACTTGAGAGTCCTGACAGAAACTTGAGAGTCCTGACAGAAACTTTGAGTCCTGACAGACAAAAGAAATCACGCTCACTCTCGCGCCACTCGGCTCGACCATGAAAAGCGCACAAGCAGGAGAGGCGCGGCCATGGTGCAGGCAACGTTACAGCCGGCAACGTGCAAGAAGGCAGCAAAGCTCGGCCACGACGTCCATGGCCCGCGCCCCCCCGATTTGCCACCGGCGGCCTGCAGGCCAGCGCCGAGCAGCGGACCGACTGCTGACCGACTGCTGACCGACTGCTGACCGAGGCAGCGCCCACGGCAGCGCCCACAGCAGCGCCCACGGCAGCACCCACGGCAGCACCCACGACAGCGCCCACGGCAGCGCACACGGCTTGGCTGGCCATGTCAGCCGCGCAGGGACCCTCCCGCGGGTCCAACCCGAAGCGCTCGACCGCTCGACGGCGCAAGTCGGCTGACGGAGCGAGCCGCATAGCCCTCCAGTGCTCACCGCAGGATCAGGCCCGACCGGCCCACGCTCACGGCCTGGCCTGCCTGTGGACCAGCAAACTCGTTGGCTGTACGCGAGCAAAGAGCTGCGTGGCTGGGTTGTGAGCATACCGTCCCCGTTGCGCCCTTTCCCTCAGTGGAGGGCCGTCCCTGCCCTCGGGAGTAACTCGACTGTACACCCCTCCCTACTCTATAGCTAAGGGCTCTGTTCACAGCGGGGGGGCAGTGGTTGTCCTGGCGGAGTCCTGGCGGAGTCCTGACAGAGTCCTGACAGAGTCCTGACGGAGTCCTGACAGAGTCCTGACGGCCTATTTTGGAGGTTTTCAACTTTGAGGTATTGTTACTATGTGAGGGTGAAATGAATGAATCAGTTCTTTGGGACAGTGCAATCCTTTTAATTATTACCTCCAACTCAAAAAAAGTCTGATGTCAAACGGACAACGGGGTCCCTTACCGGTGGCCTGTAAGGGTAAGGTGCGGGAGGTCCACAAACCAGGTTTTTGGTTGGTCACGATCGGGACGGATGACACGTCTGATGCAGACATGCGGTCACCCTCGATTCCTGTTCACAGACCTTGTTATTGTGACAAGAAAATACGTCCTATGGCGCTTTGCGCACAGCCTTGTTATTGACAAGAAAATACGTCCTATGGTAAGGTAAGGTAAGGTAAGGTAGACTTCTCCACACACACGAGGTGGTGGGGCAAGGGCGAGTGGTGCTGGGCGAAGCCCCGGGCGCTGCCGGAGGCTGTGCCGTAGTCGGTGCGGTCGACGGCGCTCGGGCTGCCGACCTCTTTGGCGAAGTTGAAGATGATTCTCTTGGTCGGCGGCGCAATGCCGCCCTGGCTTTCGACGAGACAAATTTTGACGATTCCGTTCTTGACATGGAGCGCGTCGTAGTACTGTCCCTTGTGCTCTTTGACCCAGCCTTTGCCGGTCGCATGGACGAGCGGGCCCTGTGACTTGTGGCCCGCGCTCTTTGCACCCAAGAACCTTGAGCAAGGTTTGGTCGAGGGTGCCGCCGAAATCTCGCGAGCGCCGCTCTGCCCCTGGGCAGGTCGAAGCACAGCGCGCCGGAAGCCAAGCCGCAGCAGCCGCGTGCCGCGGCGCAACAGATATGCCAAAGCTTCGGCCCGCGTCCGCACCTCTGCCGATCGCGGCCGCCTCGCCGCCGCCGCAGACACAGCTGCGCCTCCGGCCTGCTTCCGCCTCGTCCGCCGCCCGCACGCCGCTGGCCGACGTGCGCCGCCCAGGGGGTAAGGAAGGTGCGGCGTGCGGGACCGCCCAGGTCGAGTCTCGCGGGGGTGGCCGTCCGGAGGCTGGCGGCGCCGCGGGGGTGGCCGAGGAGGAAGAGGCCGAGGAAGAGGGCGAGGAAGAAGAGGCCGAGGAAGAGGCGCCTGCCGCCGCCCCGCCACTCGCCCCGCCGGCTGGCTGGGTCAAGGTCTTCCACGCGAGGCGGCAGAGGCACGTGTACGTCAACGAGGAGACGGGAGAGACGGCGAGATATATAATTATTATATTATATACATCCACGAGGAGACGGGGGAGATGGCGAGCGAACCGCCGAGCGGAGAGGCGTGTGCCGACGCGCTCGCCGCTGCCGTGGAGGCCCTCCGCGTCGCGTGAAGTCCATGGACAGCTCAGGGAGATACGCACTGGGCCCACATAGATGTGACCCGCCCACTCGAGTGCGGCGCCCAGATGCTAGTGCTTGAGAAGACACCACAAACGCGGCACGGCCCGTTTTGGCTGTCTGCGGAGATTCTGTCTTAGCACACACAGTGAGTCATTCGGAGTCATTCGATGGCCAGAGTGCGATTGTGTGTGTGCGGGAGTTGGTTTGTCGGGAGAGGGAGGGGCAGGCTGCTCACCCACGTGCACCGGGCCAGTGCTTGCACTTTGAATGCCGTGGGGCTCCTGCCCGTGTCCGGGTGGAGATGCGAGGGTCGCCCCCCTTGCCCAACCAGTTGGGGTGTGAGGAGGGGGCCTTCCTTACCTTAGATACCGGGGGGAACGAGATACGGGAAGATACGCGGACAGATACGCGGACAGATACGGGGAGATGCGGAGAGATGCGGGGAGATGCTACGGGGAGGCCTTTTGGAGCACTTGGAGTGCAGTTAGTAGCCTCACATACCCAACGCGGCCAAAGGATATCCACCTCGATATATGTATGTAGAAAGATGAACAACAGTCAGGCTCGGACTGGACACCAACGCGGTATGGGTGGACGCGGGACAGATGATGACGACACGCACGAGCGACACACAGACACAAACAAGCTCACGAGACACACAGCCAGCTGGCTGCCACACACCCTGAGTTGGCGTACACATAACTCAAGGCCGCGCCCCCTCCCTGTCGCCTCCCCCAGCCAAGGTGCCGAAGGAACAAACAAGGGCACAACAAACAACAGACGACAGGAAGTGACATGCGAGGCTAGAGCAGGCAAAAAACGCGGGCAGGAATTGCCTGGACTTCTTTTTTTATAAAATGAACTCGGGGGCACAGGACGCGGCACAAACGGGGTACACCAAAAGGCACGGGCTGCCTGCAAGGCGTTCACTCGAACGCCTCTTCAACGGAGTCGCTTAGGCGGCTAGGTAGGTAGGTAGAAAGGTGAAGAACAGCCAGGCTCGGACCGGACACCAACGCGGTATGGGTGGACGCGAGACAGATGATGACGACACGCACGAACAACACACAGACACAAACAAGCTCACAAGACACACAGCCAGCTGGCTGCCACACACCCTGAGTTGGCGTACACATAACTCAGGGCCACATTCTTCCTGTCGCCCCCCCCAGCACTCCAAGGTGCCAAGAGAAACAAACAAGGGCACAACAAACAACAGACGACAGGAAGCAACGTGCGAGGCTAGAGCAGGCTTGCTCGTCCTCTAGCAATCTCCGCCGACCGCGAGGCCGGACTAGACCGTGTGTGAGGCGGCTCCGGTGGTGAGCCGGAGAAAAATTCTTTTTCTCGCGAGTCTGCCGGCACAAGGCTCGCGCTGCCGCTGTGAGTGTGTGTGTGTGTGCGGGACAAGGGGGTGGGACATACATGCATGCCCCGCGCACGCACGCGGCGGACATAGACGTGGATCCACCCGAGCCGCCCGACCCCGACGAAGAGCTCCCGCCAGACGACGGGACGCATGGCGCCTCCGTGCCATCGCCAGTGCGCCAGAATATTGAGCCGGCCTTGTTCTTCGCGACGTCCGCCCCACACCACTCGCCCCCCCTCGCCGCCGCCACCGCCGCGGCTTCGCCAAGCACGCCGCCGCCCTTCCGCCTCCTCGACCTCCCGAGGGAGCTCCTCGAGCGCGTCCTCTCTCGTTTCAACAGCCCCGCCGACATCGCTCGTGTTGCGGCCGTCTCGCTACTCTTCCACGCCTCGCTCGCGGCGGAGGGCATCCGCTTGTGGGCGCAAGAGCGCGGCTTCGAGCTGCCGGCGCAGCCGGAGGACGAGAGCTGCGCCGTGCGGTGGCTGTGCCTTTCGGCGCTGCTGCGCGAGTCCAACCCGCCGGCGAGGGTGGCAGCGGGCTATCAGCATAGCGTCTTCATCGACGGCGAGGGGCGGCTCTTGTCGTGTGGCTCAGACCCGATGCAAGAGGGGCTGCTCGGCCACGGCGAGGGCGTGACGCGGCTCAACACGCCGACCCGCCTCGCGTCGACGCTGGGTGACGAGCGCGCCGTGAGCGTGTCGGCTGGAGCTGGCCACAACCTCGCCCTCACCGTCGGCGGCGCCGTTTGGAGCTGGGGCGGTGGAGCCTTTGGCCAGCTGGGCCACGGCGACGATCAGGACCAGCTGCTGCCCAAGAAGCTCGAGACCTTGGCTGGCCAGCGCGTCGTCGCTGCGTCGGCGGGAGACTTCCATATTCTCGCTCTCACCGCCGACGGCGCCATCTGGAGCTGGGGCCGCGGAGGCTTGGGCCAGCTGGGCCACGGCAACAAGCAGCACCAGCTGCTGCCGAAGAAGATCGAGGCCTTTGCTGGCCAGCGCGTCGTCGCTGTGTCGGCTGGGCGGTACCACAGCCTCGCCGTCACCGCCGATGGCGCCGCCTGGAGCTTTGGCAGTTGCAGCTCAGGCGAGCTGGGCCACGGCGATTGGCAGGCCCAGCTGCTGCCGAAGAAGATCGAGGCCTTCACTGGGCGGCGCGTCGTCGCTGTGTCGGCTGGATCCCAGCACAGCCTCGCCATCACCGCCAACGGCGCCGTCTGGAGCTGGGGCGATGGAGGCTTTGGCACGCTGGGCCACGGCGACACGCAGCGCCAGCTGCTGCCCAAGAAGGTCGAGGCCTTCTCTGGCCAGCGCGTCGTCGCTGTGTGGGCGGGAGACGGCCACAACATCGGCCACAGCCTCGCCCTCACCGCCAACGGCGCCGTCTGCAGCTGGGGTAATGGAGTCTCTGGCAAATTGGGCCACGGCGACGCGGAGCGCCAGCTGCTGCCGAAGAAGATCGAGGCCTTTGCGGGCCAGCGCGTCGTCGCTCTAACATCTGGAGATCAGCACAGCCTCGCCACCAGCGCCGACGGCGCCGTCTTTACCTGGGGCGAGGGCGAACACGGCTGCCTAGGCCACGGCGAGGACTTGTCGAACCAGCTGCTGCCCAAGAAGATCGAGACGCTGGTCCTGGTCGAGCCCTGGAAGGAGACGCTGGTGAAGCGCGCGGCCGAACCGCGCCTGCTCGTGATCGGCGGCTGTGGTGCCACATCGGCGGATGTGGTGCATCACATCATACAGCTCAACAGCGGCAGCTCTTTCCTCAACGGCTGCTTTATCGATCCGATTGAGCGGTACAGCCCTGTCGAGAATACGTGGGGGGAAGAAGTTGTCTTGAACATCGGATACCCGGGGCAAGCGGCCTCTTGCGAAATTGCTGCCGCCATGGCCGTACTCGATGGCAAACTCTACGCTGTGGGCGGCTTGTATGAAGACAACATGTATGGTATCGAGGTCGGCACCTGTTCCAACAAGGTCTTGCGGTACGATTTTGCCACGAAATTGTGGGAGGCAGTAGCTCCACTGACGACGGCGCGGAGTGTTGCCAGCGCTGTGGCACTCGACGGCAAGCTTTACGCTGTTGGCGGGCATGACGACACCCATTACGATAACGGTGAGCACGACGCCTTCGATGATGGCAGCGGCGACGACGAAGAGATCGACTACTTCGGTGAGCACGACCGCAGCGGCTATCTCACCTCAGTCGAGCGGTATGACCCGGCGCTGAATGCGTGGGAGAGGGTGAGCTGGCTTCCTGACGAGCGGGACCGCTTCAGCGTGGCGGTGCTCGACGGCAAGCTGTATGCTATTGGCGGGTATGGAAGCCCTTGTCGGTCATGGCAGCAACAAGAAGCCCTTAGCACGGTGTACAGGTACGACCCGGCGATGAATGCGTGGGAGAAGGTTGCGCCGCTGACGAGAAGGGCTTCTTGTGGCGCCGCGGTGCTCGACGGCAAGCTGTACGCTGTGGGCGGGTACGACGGTGACGACCTCAGCTCGGGTACGACCCTCAGCTCGGTCGAGCGGTATGATCCGGCAGCAAATGCGTGGGAGGAAATAGCGCCGATGCCGACGGCGCGGCAAAATCCCGGCGTGGGGGTGCTCGATGGCAAGCTGTATGTTGTTGGCGGCGTGGGAGACCGGTCTGAACTGCTCAACACAGTCGTGCGATTCGACCCAGCCAAAAACGCGTGGGAGGACGTGGCACCGATTGCAACGGCGCGGGTTGCTCCCCTCGTTGCCTTGCTCTAGTCTACTTTCGGGGACGGCCGACGTGCAGAGGCCCGCCCCCAATCCCCAGACCGCACCCGGACTGCAGACGCCGCAGACGAGAGTCGAGCACCTGGGCGGTAGTGGTGCTTGTCCGGTGAGTGGTGGGTCAGAGTAGCTGGTAGTGATGGGTGAGAGTAGTGGGTGAGTGGTGGGGAAGTGCGCCAAGTGGTGGAGCTGTCGGGCACGCCGGGCGCCGATGGCATCAAGCAGCTGCGGCGCGGCACCGTCCAGTTCCTTGCCGGCATCGAGCTGTGCGCGACGGCGGCGGCGGCGCAGGGGGCGGGGCGGCGGGCGAGGTGGCGGCGGCAGACCGAGTCCAGATTGTTCGGTCTCGGAGGGGGTGTGAGGGGAGGGCCTGTTGACCACCCCTCTAGAGGAGCAGCGCACGCCCAGAGCAGAGCACAGAGAAAGACACTCCTAGCTTTTGGAGAAGCCGGGCAGCAGGGTTCCGGCTCCTACCCAGATAGGGGGTCTGTTGCCTATGACTCGCACCCCTACCTACATACCTATTGCGGGCGCCAATCGCCAGGCTCCGTGCCCCACCTACCTACCTATTCCCAGGCCGCGCAGCGAAGCAAAAAATACCCGTCCCGGGCGCGTTCGCCGGCGCTGCCGAGTGCCGACCCGGGCGCCGCCACCGCGGGCGCCGCCGCCGCACCCGTCTCGGCTGGCGTCCCAGCCGCAGGCGACTCGTCTGGCATGGCCCCGTTCGCGGCTAGCGCGTCTCCCGCCTCCTGGGTTCCGGCTCCTGGGTTCCGGCTCCTACCCAGATAGGGGGTCTGTCGCCTACGCGCTACGGTTAGACCCCATGCAATAGGTAGGTAGGTCCGGTTTTGACCGCCCCAGAGGGCCCCGCAATAGGTAGGTAGGTGGTGTTGGTGGGCGCGCGGGGGGGGGGGGGGGGGAACCGAAAAAAACAAAATCATCAAGTTACAAAAAAGAAAAAAATGTCCGCGTAAGGCCGCCAGGAAGCTCAGGCGGTTGCTGCGAGAGGAGCGAGGTAAAAGACACTGTTGAAAGGTTGGAGAGCAGCCTGCCGTCGAGCAGCGCGCCGCCCAAGCCTCGGCGCCGCGAGAGCAGCCGGTCGACGTCGGCACCAAGCGCGCGGCCGCCGGGCGCCTCCGAACCGACAGGGCCGCGGCAGTAGAGACACGCTCCACCCGCCACCGTTTTATGGCGGCGTGTTTCAGTCAAGCACTCTCTAAAGAAAGAAAGAAAGAAAACAGACAACCCAAGGGAGGGATGGGAGAACGGCACGCCGCCACCACACAGGGATTTTAAGGAGAGGAGTGTGATGCGCTAGCCGTCGCCCACCCTGAGGAGTCTGCCTCTTCGTATCTCTTTTCGCAGTCTCTCGCCGCTTCTCGCTGCAACCTTCATGCCACCTCGCGGCCTCAACGTTACAAAAAAGTAAACGAAGGACCGCTCGCAGAGGACCATTGGGTTTGTACTATTAACAACGAAGGCGCTCTCAAAAAGTAAACCCGCTACCTTTGGTCGGTGAGTACCTAGGTAGCGGCTCCCGGCCCAGGCCGCCGACAACGATGCTCGTCCCCTTGTTGACGCTGACACCTGCCGCGCTGCTTCCCAGCGGTTGCGGGTGTCAGCGTCACGTCTACCCTGCGCTGCGCGCCTCGCCCGCCGTCTTGCCGCTGCTTCGAGCTCCGCCGGTCCGGTGCGGTCTCTTCGACAACATATTTGGTGCCACGAGGCCGGACGAGGATGAGGCGGGCAAGTTCTCGCGACACCTCGACCTCGAGCCCGGCGGCTTCCCGCTCGGCGTGCTGGTCGCGGGTCTAGGAGATGACGCGCTCGAGGCGGCCGCCGTGGCGATCGAGGCGGTGTGGAGCGGCGCCGAGGGCGAGCCGCTCAAGCACGTGCCGATCGTCGCGCTCGCGGAGGGCGATCTCGGCAGGGGTGTCACGCTGCGCAGCCTGCTCGCGGCGCTCGGCGAGAGGGACTCAGTACTCCCGGACAAGGCTGCGCGCGTGACGGTGCCGCTGGTCCTGCTCTCGGGCTTCAGCACGGTGCAGACGTCACTGGCCGTCCGCCGCCTCCGCGCGCTCGGCCTGGTCGGAGGCGCGTCGGGCAGGGAGCCGCCGATGTTTGCGGTCGCCGTGCCCAACTCGCTCGACAAGTCATTGCGCATGTTGTGCGAGGAGATTGAGGGAGACCACCGCGCGAGGCAGGCGCGGGCAAAGCCTCAGTGAGCGCGCGGGTGCCGGTATGGCTGTATGTACGGGGAGGGATCGCTGGGTAGATGTGTATGCGCGGGGGCATAAACGTTTTATGTATGTAAAAAGTGAGGGGGGGGCGAGCTAATAATGGCACATTACGTCGGTGCGCGGGGGCGGACGGCGACGGGAGCGGGGAGGGTTCCTCGCTGGAGTCTGCAATCTCATTACTCGTTTCAGCCGATAGCGACAGTCGCGGCTCTTAGTCGCAGAAAACAAGAACACGCGAGCGTTACATGCGTGACCGGTACATGCCGCGAGTCCTGTGTAATGCACGCCGGCAAATTGGAGGTGGCGCGTGCGGAGGCACGCGAGAACACGGATTGCGTGTGTGAGAGGAACGGCTACAAAACACTAGGAGCCTCCCTGGACGGCGTACACGCCCGGTGCCACCTCCTTGGCGCCTGGGTTCTCGGCGAGAAGCTTCGCGAACGCCTCCTCCGCGGCGCGCTTCTCGTCGTCTGCCTCCAGTGCTGCTGCGGGAGCAGCGGCGGCAGGCGCTGGCGAAGCGCCGTCTGCGAGGCCGTTTGCAGCGATCAGGCCTCGTATATTGTCGAGCTGCTCGGGCGAGAGGTCGGGCGAGAAGGTCCAGCCTCCGCTGGGCGCAGCCATCTCGTTGCGCGCCGGCGCGGAGCCACGCAAAAAGAAGAAAAAGCGCACCGGAGTACACGGCGAAGTTTACCTCGCCTCCCGAATATACCCAAAAGGTCAAAGCATTGGACAACAACATGCCAGCAACATATGCCACTTTGCCAGTCGCGTCGCAGCAGGGCCTGCGTTCAGCCCACCAGCCCGAAGAAGAAGAGATCTCTCTCTCTCCAGCCCGAAATCGCACATTCGCATGGATATCGACGAGTGCTCCGCGGACGAGTGCAGGCGAGGGAGGAGAACAACTAAACCGGCGGCGTATCGTACGTCATGCTCCGCGCCTGTGCCGAGTGCTCGCTACTTGCCCGCGTACGCCTCTCGCCGCACGACGCACACGTCGGGCAGCGATCGGAAGCGGTTCGCCCAGTCCATGCCGTAGCCAACCACAAACTCGTCGGGGCAGACGAGGCCGACCAGGTCGGGCGAGAGGTCGGAGGCGCGGCGTGCAGGCTTGTCAAACATGACGCAGGAGCGCACGGAGAGGGCGCCGCGGTCGCGCATGAGCTGGACCAGGCTCGCCATGGTCTGGCCGCTGTCGCACATCTCGTCCACCAGCAGCACGTGCTTGCCCGCGAGCGACGTGTTGGTGTCCTTTTTGATCTGCACGTTGCCCGCCGAGACTGTGTCCAACCCTGCGGGCGGAAAGCGTGCGAGTGGAGGGGGCGTCGTGGTGTGCGCGTGTCGCGTGCGTAGCGGTCGTGGTGTGCGCGTGTCTCGTGCGTCGAAGCCCATGGAGGGTGAACACACGCTGCTGAGGTTGGTGCTCTCGTAGCTCAGCCCTCACCGTAGCTTGAGCACGCGATGAAGTCGGCAGTGTGAGGCACCGTCAGATTGCGCACGAGGTCGCTGTAGAACATGAAGCAGCCGGTGAGGAGGCCGACCACCGTGAAGGTGCCCTCGGTCACGCCAGCATAGAGGGCGTTGATCTGCCCGGCCAGACGCTGGCAGGCCGCCGCAATCTCGACGCGGCTGAAGAGGACTCGGTCGATGACGGCCGGGTCGGGCCACGGCTTGGCGAGTGGCGAGTCGGGCCTCTCTTCGCTCAGCTTGCACATGTGAAAAACGCCCAGCTACAACACCGCGAGTGAATTGCCGCGTCTGCAACCGATCTTCCTTTCATCTTTTCGTGCCGAATCCGAGCCCCGCCATCGCGAATTCTTCCTGCTCGCCTCTGCTGGGATATACAGCTACACGAGTACACGCGGCCTGTGGGCCTAGCTTTGGGTGGAACATATGGCTCCAACCTCGAGGTCCTCGTCGTCGTCCTCCTCCTCGTCCTCCTCCTCCTCGCACTCGCGCTCGCCTCCAAAGGCCAAGCCCGTTCGCGACGAGTTTGGCCGCGAGGGCCGCCGGAGCAGCCGCAGCCGCAGCCGCAGCCCTCGCCGCGGCCGGGACGATCGCCGCGATGACGGCCGCCGAGGCCGCAGCCGCAGCCGCAGCCGCGACCGCGACTACGACCGCGACCGCGACCGCCGTCGCCCGCCGCCGCAGCCGCACTACTCCTCCGGGCCCGTCCGCGGCAGGCGCCGCTCCCGCTCCCCGCCGCCGCGCCGGCCGCGGTCGCCGCAGGTGCCGGACGAGTACCTGCTTGACGTGCCCGAGGCGGGCTCGACGATGCGCGCGCGGGTGGTCTCGGTCAAGCCCTTTGGCGCCTTTGTGCACCTCCCCGGCTACCGGTCACAGGGGCTAGTCCACATCTCTCAGCTGGCGGCGCGGCGGGTGGAGTCGGTGGAGGAGGTGGCCAAGCTGGAGGACGAGGTGTGGGTGTCCGTACTCAGCGTTGAGGGCGAAGGCCGCGCCGCCCGCGTCTCGTGCTCGATGCGGCGCGTCGACCAGCAGACGGGGGAAGAGATCGAGGACGAGAGAGCGGGCGGCGGCGGCGGCGGCGGCGGCGGCGGCGGGAGGGAGTACAAGCGGCAGCGCGGCGGCAGCGACGCGATGCCCGAGCAGTTTTCGGTGCACAAGGGCGTGGTTGAGAAGCTCGAGTCGTTTGGGGCCTTCATCTCCCTCCCCGGCCTGCGGAAGAACGGGCTGTTGCACATCTCCCAACTCTCAAACCAGCGCATCGAGGTGCGATCTCCCCACATCTCCCCATACCTGCCCATATCTCCCTCAACTCTCAAACCAGTGCATCGAGGCGTCGGACCTGCCCGACATCCTCGTGCGATCTCCCCATATCTCCCCATATCTCCCCCATCTCTCCCCACATCAGGCGTCGGACCTGCCCGACTCCTCGTGCGATCTCCCCATATCTCCCCATATCTCCCCCATCTCTCCCCACATCAGGCGTCGGACCTGCCCGACTCCTCGTGCGATCTCCCCATATCTCCCCATATCTCCCCCATCTCTCCCCACATCAGGCGTCGGACCTGCCCGACTCCTCGTGCGATCTCCCCATATCTCCCCATATCTCCCCCATCTCTCCCCACATCAGGCGTCGGACCTGCCCGACTCCTCGTGCGATCTCCCCATATCTCCCCATATCTCCCCATATCTCCCCTATCTCTCCCCACATCAGGCGTCGGACCTGCCCGACATCCTCGAGGTCGGGCAAGACGTGTACGTCAAGGTCACCTATTAATTGAATTGATTAGATCGAATTCAATGAATTAGCTTAATTCGTTAACAAGACGTGTACGTCAAGGTCACCTCCATCGACGCCGACGCCGGCCGCTACTCGCTCTCGATGAAGCTCTGCTCGCAGTCCGACGGGCGCGACCTCGACCCGACTCATGTCGAGGCGCGGAGAGATGGGGAGAGGTGGGGAGAGATGGGGAGATCGCACCTCGACCCGACTCACGTCGAGGCGCGGAGAGATGGGGAGAGGTGGGGAGAGATGGGGAGATCGCACCTCGACCCGACTCACGTCGAGGCGCGGAGAGATGGGGAGAGGTGGGGAGAGATGGGGAGATCGCACCTCGACCCGACTCACGTCGAGGCGCGGAGAGATGGGGAGAGGTGGGGAGAGATGGGGAGATCGCACCTCGACCCGACTCACGCCGAGGCGCGGAGAGATGGGGAGAGGTGGGGAGAGATGGGGAGATCGCACCTCGACCCGACTCACGTCGAGGCGCGGAGAGATGGGGAGAGGTGGGGAGAGATGGGGAGATCGCACCTCGACCCGACTCACGCCGAGGCGCGGTCCGACGCTACTTTCGGGTGAACTAGCAACTGACGAACTCGTACAGGCGCTGTCCGACGCCGACCGGCGAGGCGGCGGCGGCGGCAAGGGCGGCGGCAAGGGCGACGAGCCGAAGCGCGACTCTCGGGCGGCGATGGAAGTGCCAGAGTACGGAGGGCGGCAGCTCGGCACGGGCGAGTACGACCTCGTGCCGGAGGAGGTGCGATCTCCCCATATCTCCACATATCTCCCCCATATCTCCCCACATCTCCCCCCATCTCCCCCCATCTCCCCCCATATCTCCTCGTGCCGGAGGAGGACGACGAGTCAAGAAGCGGAATGCGTGTTCATGTCTCCCCACCAGCACTCGGCAGGAGGACACGGACTCCGCTGTACTCCGCCGCACTCCGCTGCGCTTCACTGCATTCGCACCCCTCGTCTCCACGCGCTGCTCCGAACACACTGCGATGAGACCGCCTTCCCGCCCTCATGTCGGCGTACCCACAACCTAGGAGGACGAGCGGCCGGGGCTGCCGCCCGCGGCAGGCGGGACATACCAGCTGACCGTGCCAGGCACGGGCGCCGTTCCGCCGGCACCGGACGCGGAGGCGGAGGCGCGCGCGCAGCTGCAGCTGCAGCTGACGGCGAGGCTGCTCGCAAAGGGCGCGGCCAAGCAGAAGCGGCGCGAGGAGAAGAAGGCGAGGAAGGAGAGGAGGAAGGAGAGGAAGCGCGAGAAGAAGGGGGCGAAAAAGAGCGGCAAGAAGGGCTCCAAGAAGGAGAAGCGGCACCGCGAGAAGCCCTCGTAGCCTCCTTGGCGAGGGGAAGGGAAGCTGCGCCACATTGTCTATAGCTGCGTGTGAGAGCTGTATAACGAGACGCGTTTGCGCCGCTGTGTAGCGCCGATCTCTACAAGGTCAGGCGTGCCGCGTGTCCGAGGGCAAGCTCGAGCGTCCCAGAAGCGCTGCAACCCGGGTACGTGTATTGTGCCGCATCAATAATCATGCCGCATCAATAAATAAATAAATAAAACGGACACCTCTAGAGTGTGAGATGGGTAAAAAGGAACAGGTCCCCGCCCTTGCGATGTTTGTACAGGGTTCTTTGTGGGTATGTGGTCGGCGACTAGCCGGCTGCCGGGGTCGTCCTCCCGATGGCGGACTAGCACTAGCCGTCTTCCACATGGTCCCTCGGGTCCCTGCTGCTCCTAATCTCTTCGTACATCCTCCTGCTGATCTCTCCGCAAAGTCCTGCTCCCTCCCTCGTCTCGCTCTGCGCGTGTCTGCTCCGCCTCCACATCGTCTGCCCTGCGTCGTCTGGCGACGGGTCCTCCATAGTCGGTTGAGGTCGCCGCCCTCCTCGTGCCTCTTCCCACCGTTCCCTCGGCGGCCGACGCCGTCTGCTCCGGCTCCGCCGTCCCCGTGTCTGCCCTGCTCTCGTCCGCGCTAGCTTCTCTGTTTCGTCATCACTGGTGTTTCTCCTCTTTTTTCTCCTCTTCTTGTACCGTATGCTTTGTACATCGCGTCGATTCCTGTTCGCGTGAGCACCATCCTGAAGCCCGCCCAGCAGCTGAACCGCTCCCTAAGTCGAAGGAGCATCATCAGTCTCTCACCCACTTCGCTCGCTGCCCACTGTCACCGCTCCCTCCCGCGTGAGCCGCCGTCGCGGCCCTCGTTCGTCCCACTGGCTGTTGGCCTGTTCCCACGTTACCTCCATTATCCCTCCTCCTCCGCGACTCCCTCAAGGCTGGCCGGGCCTCCTTCCACCCAGCGAAGAGCTTCCTCAGCCACTCGATGTGTTCCTCTCTCTTCATTATGCGCGCCGTAGCCTCATCATTGAGCTGGATCCACCTCTGCACCGCTCCCGTCGCCGCCTCGGCCACGACTTGCAAGTTCCTCGTGACCCGTGCGCCAAGGTCCCTCCGGCTCTTCTCCGAGAGATCATCTACCAGCGCCGGCAGCACCCCCCCGACGGCTGGGGCTAGTGCATCGTACCCGTCCTCATCCAGCACCCTATAGCGTGAGCCCTTCAGCGCAGCGACATGCGCTATTCTCAGCGTCTTCAGCGTATCCTTGGAGTCGGGTGCCGCCTGTGCTACTTTGCTGATCGCCGTCCCCTTGCGCTCGACTGCACACGCTCAAGTACTCAAGTGCACGTGCGAGCACTTGGAGCACCCCCGACTTGGAGTGTACTTGAGTAGTTGGTAACCTCACACATGCAGGGCCGGGGAGCTAAGAAGGGTGAAGGGCACCCAGAGCGGGATCTCTCAGGTTACGAGTCATTTTTTTGACTATACTGCGACAGTATACAGTAATACTGCGGTTCATCCCGGTGTTGTTAAACACGGGAGCAGACAGTTTCGCCACACAGCACACAGGTGCGGACTAGCGCGTGCGCTAGCACAAACAAGGCAAACCAATTCTACCACCAGCTGTTTCGTCGGAAGCTCTCACATCGCCTCAGAGTTGCGGCCGAATAGGGATAAAGAGGGCAGTCCAAGAAGGCGCCGCAGCCAATCGAGGTGTTCGATCGAGGACGAGGTGTATCTGTCCGGCAGCGTGACGGCGGTGAGGTAGTCGCCGATCGAGGTGAGGCTGTCCGGCAGCGTGACGGCGGTGAGGGCGGAGCAGCCTTCGAAGGCGCTGTCCTCGAGCGCAATCACGCCATCGGGTATCGGGTACGCCGGCCCCTCCTCCTCTTCCTCCCCCTCCTCGCCGTCTCCGCCGCCGCTGCTGGCAGACCTGCCAGACCTGCCAGACCCGCTGGACCCGATAGACAAGACGACAGACGAGGATGACCCGTTGGCATCCTCGTCCTGGTCCTCCCTCTCCTCCCCTCCCTCCCACCGCTGCACCTGTTCACGCGCCGCTGCCGCCACATCCTCCGAGTCGCTGCCCAGCATTGCCTGCAGAAACTCGAGCAGCGTCGCAAACGCCTGCGCTCCGGCCTCGTCGGTGGGCTCTGGCTCTGCCGTCGAGGCTTGCAGAGCCGAGTCATCCGCCGCTGCCTCGTAGGTATCCATCCTTGCTGCGCGAACAACACCCGCATTGGTGGATGGCAGGAACTTGAGGCTTGTCACCTCGCGGCGACACAGCGGGCACTGGCACGATTGCGACCGCGGATCGATGATCTTGATGGTGCACAGCTCGCAGAGCGTCGCGTGGCCGCATGGCTGGTTCCGAACGGTGCGAGGCCGACTCATGCACACGGTGCAGCTGTCGCCGTTTTCATGCTTTCTGGTCACGCTGTTGTCCGTAGAGGAGGCATCGGCCTCCGCGGCATCCGACCTTGCACGCTTGCCAGTCCCTAGCATTATGCACACTTCGCCGACGACGCGCTGAAGGGACGGCCGGGGCCGCTCGGCCAAAGCTTGGGGGGGGGGGGGGGGGGGGGGCATAGTGGTGTGCAGTCCCGCAGCATGTTAAGTCTTTCTTGTTTCACGCTTTCCGCTTTCTCGAGGAGCCGGAACCAAAAGAAGAGCATCAAGCCGCTCACGCTCGCACCCCAGGCAGACAGACAGACGGAGATAGTCGATAGACAGACAGACAGATGCACGCCGCGCGAGAGACATCCCATGAGCCGCGCCGCTCGACGGCCTGCGCCATCCCGTCGGCGAGCACCGAGAGGCCGGCGGCCGACAGCGCGTTTGTCGTGATGGGCGCCGCCCGGAGCGAGCGGAGAGCGCGGACTGATGCTGTAGCGCGGGCTTGCAGTCGCTCAAGACGAGGCACCTCCTGTCCGCCGCAAACATCAATCACGGAGACAAATAACGCAAAATTGCGTCACAGGTCTCACACACACCGCATACGATCAAATGCACGTACGGCTTTACGGTGTACTGGTGTAGTGTTTACGTAGGTACGGCGTCTAGTGACTAGTCGGTGTTCGGTATCTCCGCGACTCCCGACTCGCCCTAGCTTCAACTCTCGTACTCGAGAGACGCCCCACTCGCACACACCGCGACAGCTAGCGACGCTCCGCCCTCTCAGCTTGGCCCCGCGTCGAGCTCCACGTCGTCGCCGTACTGCATGTGCGGGAAGGGGGGCAGGGCGCCGTCCTCGCCGGCAGCCGGCAGCGGCCGCCCGACGAAAGCGCTCAGCCGCCTCCACAGCTGCTCCGAGCTCTCTCCAAACAGGTCGAGAAGGAGGACGCGCTCGCGCGGCAGCGAGCCAAGCACGACCCGGTGCCACAGCGCGAAGGCGGCGGCGGCTTGCTCCTCGGTAAGGGCGCCCACCGGCGCGTCGAACCCGAGCAGAGGGAAGAGCGGCGCCTGGTCGAGATATGGGGAGATATGGGGAGATGTGGGGAGAGACAACCCGAGCAGAGGGTAGAGCGGCGCCTGGTCGAGATATGGGGAGATATGGGGAGATGTGGGGAGAGACAACCCGAGCAGAGGGTAGAGCGGCGCCTGGTCGAGATATGGGGAGATATGGGGAGATGTGGGGAGAGACAACCCGAGCAGAGGGTAGAGCGGCGCCTGGTCGAGATATGGGGAGATATGGGGAGATGTGGGGAGAGACAACCCGAGCAGAGGGTAGAGCGGCGCCTGGTCGAGATATGGGGAGATATGGGGAGCTGTGGGGAGAGACAACCCGAGCAGAGGGTAGAGCGGCGCCTGGTCGAGATATGGGGAGATATGGGGAGATGTGGGGAGAGACAACCCGAGCAGAGGGTAGAGCGGCGCCTGGTCGAACGGGTGGCGCTTCCTGTTCACAGCGGCTCTATTCACAGCCTCTTCTATTCACAGCCTGGTCGAACGGGTGGCGCTTCCTGCGCGACGCAGCCCACGTGGCGGGGTCGCGGGCGGTGAGGAGGACGCGCGCCTACCTCAGCCGAGATCGGCCGAGATCAGCCGAGATCGGCCGAGATCGGCCGAGATCAGCCGAGATTCGAGCTCCTAGATTCGCCGAGATCCGCCGAGATCCGCCGAGATCCGCCGAGATCTTGCGGGGCGAGGAGGGGTCGCGCGTTTGGAAAGGCGGCGAGCAGCTCGAAGAAGAGGTCGACCTGCGGGGCACGTCCGGGACGTGTCATGGACGTGCGCAGGCCGTCGGAGCGAGCAGCTCGAGGAGTGGCAGGCCGTCGGCGTGTCGATGAGCGCGTCTGTCGCGGAGAGGTAGGTGAGGTCCTGTGGACATGTCTCAGACATGTCATGGACGTGTCATGGACGGGCCAGCAGCAGGGAGCGGAGAGGTAGGTGAGGTCCGTGCGGTGCGCCGCCTCGCGATCCACGGGCGGCGCCGGGTGGCTCGACTTGAAGAGCGGGCGGAGCAGCTCCACGGGCCCGCCGCCTTCGCGGTACGAGGTGGTCTCCTCACCGCTGGTCGCGTTGAAGGCGCGCGAGTAGTGGACCGTCGTCACGCCGAGCGCCTTGAGCGCAAAGTAGAGCGACATCGTGCCCGTGGTGCCGGGTGAGGCGCCGATGAGCAGCGGGTGTGCGGATGTCGCAACAGGCGGACCGGAGGACGGCAGCTGCACGCACGGCGATAGCAAAGGGTCGGGCTGCGCCACCGCCGCCGCAGCGTCCTCAGCTGCGCAGGAGCCAGCGGCAGCGGCGGCGGCGCAGCCGCGAAGCAGCGAAGTGGCGAAGAACACTCTTGTGAGGCTGCTGACCAAGCGTGGGAGCGCGCCGCACATTCTGTGCAGCGCGCCGCTCATTGTCGGCAGGAATTTTTTTTTTGAGCTTAGCCTTCGGTGTTATGAAACAACGCAAGGCGGACATGGCATATCGCTCTCGGGCCCACAGACATCCCGCACACCCGCCGCCACCCGCGCGCGCCCCACCCCGGCCGGGAGAAAGGGGAGTGACAGTTTGGGCCGGAAAGCCCGAGTACCTCGCACTCCGTGTGCGAGAACGCAGGAAACAAGAGGGCTCACAAGTCCGGCTCACGCGCCTCGAGCTCACCGCATGGTTCAGGGTGAGCGCGGTCTATTGCCCGCGCGGATTTTCTTCTTCGCGATGTCCACCAGCCGCGCCGGCGCTCGCGCCGCCTCGCCGCCGCCTCCGCCGCCGCGCCCTCGCCAGACACGCCGCCGCCCGTCCGCTTGCTCGATCTCCCCAGGGAGCTCCTCGAGCGCGCCCTCTCTCGCTGCGACAGCCCCATCGACATCGCTCGCACCGCGGCCGTCTCGCTCCTCTTTCACCCGCTCGCGGAGGAGGGCATCCGCTTGTGGGCGCAAGAGCGCGGCTTCGAGCTGCCGGCGCAGCCCGAGGACGAGAATTGCGCCGTGCGGTGGCTGTGCTATTCGGCGTTGCTGCGCGAGTCCAACCCGCCGGCGAGGGCGGCGGCAGGCGCTCGGCACAGCGTCTTCATCGACGGCGAGGGGCGCCTCTCGTCGTGCGGCACGGCAAGGGAGGGGGAGGAGGAGGAGGACGATGCGGAGGAACTTCCAGGCCTCCTCGGCCACGGCGAGGGCGTGACGCAGCTCAATACGCCGACCCGCCTTCCGTCAACGCTGGGTGACGAGCGCGCCGTGAGCGTGTCGGCTGGAGTCTACCACAGCCTCGCCCTCACCGCCGACGGCGCTGTGTGGAGCTGGGGTGAGGGATTCATTGGCCACGGCGATCAGCAGGCCCAGTGGCAGCCGAAGAAGGTCGAAGGCTTGGCTGGCCGGCGCGTCGTCGCTGTGTCGGCTGGAGGATACCACAGCCTTGCCATCACCGCCGACAGCGCTGTCTGGAGCTGGGGCCATAGATACTCTGGCCAGCTGGGCCACGGCGACGAGCAGCACCAGCTGCTACCGAAGAAGGTCGAGGCCTTTGCTGGGCAGCACGTCGTCGCGATCTCGGCGGGAGGCAACCACAGCCTCGCCATCACCGCCGACGGTGCCCTCTGGTCGTGGGGCTATGGAGGCGGTGGCCGGCTGGGCCACGGCGAGCAGCAGAACCAGCTGCTGCCGAAGAAGGTCGAGGCCTTTGCTGGCCAGCGCGTCGTCGCTGTGTCGGCTGGAGGCTTTCACAGCCTCGTCCTCACCGCCGACGGCGCCGTCTGGAGCTGGGGCTATGGAGGCGGTGGCCAGCTGGGCCACGGCGACCAGCAGCACCAGCTGCTGCCGAAGAAGGTCGAGGCCTTTGCTGGCCAGCGCGTCGTCGCCGTGTCGGCTGGACGCGACCACAGCCTCGCCATCACCGCCGACAGCGCTGTCTGGAGCTGGGGCGGTGGAGGCTTTGGCGAGCTGGGCCACGGCGACCAGCAGCACCAGCTGCTGCCGAAGAAGGTCGAGGCTTTCGCGGGCCAGCGCGTCGTCGCTGTGTCGGCTGGAGCCGGCCATAGCCTCGCCTTCACCGCCAGCGGCCCCGTCTTTGCCTGGGGCGAGGGCGAATACGGCTGCCTAGGCCAAGGAGAGGACCTGTCGAGCCAGCTGCTACCCAAGAAGATCGAGGGGTGGGCGCGGGGGCCGTAGTGTGCATGTGAGCGAGGTGCTGGCCGTGCTGTGCCCTGGGCTGCCGCTGCGCGCTGGCCGCTGATGCGGACTGAGTCTGAGAGACCAAATCAGAGCTCGCATGCATATAGTTGCCTTGGCGTGGAGCTGGCGCGTAAAACGCACTGTGATGAAAAGTGGCACACAAACCGCCTTTTTTATGCCTCGGAGGCGCGATTGGAGTCGCACACACCCCGTGGCGCAGCTCACCTCGCCGCTCCGCGCTCGCGGGGACAGCGCACACCAGGAAGCGGCCGTGCCGCGCCGCCCCCTCCCGCTCGCCCCACACGCCGTGCTCCCTCGCGTGGCGCCGCCCCGTCAAACTCGTACAGCAGCGGCGTCGCCGTCGGCAGGTCGACGTGGTACACGTCCTCTGGCGCGAGGCCGTCCAGGTACGCGACGAGGGCGCGCAGCGTGTTTCCGTGCGTCACGACGAGGACCGTCCTCCCCTCCCGCAGCGCCGGCGCGATGGTGCCCTCCCACAGGCCGGCCACGCGCCGGGAGACGGCGGAGAGGCACTCGCGCGACGGCACCCGCGCGGCGTCGTACCTCGTCAAGGTCGGGGCTGGGGTTGGGTCTAGGGTCGTGGGGTTGGGGTTAGGGTTGGGGTACATTCTGGGTCTGGGTCTTTTGGTTCAGGGTGTAGGGTAGGGCTGTGGGGCTCGACGCGGCGGCGCCGCACCTCCTGTCGGTGGCGATGGCGCGCTGGATCGCGGAGTCGGCGGCTATCTCGGGAGGAGGGTCCTCAAAGTTGCGCCGCCACACGCCATCACCTGGTCGACGCCCCACCTTTGGGCGCACGAGACCTTGTTCTCGCCTGTCAGCAGGCCGGCGTGCTGCTCGTTGAGCTCGAGGTGCTTCCGCACCGGCAGCCAGCACTGGTTGAGCGTCGAGAGCATCAGCACCGCCGACCGGATGGCTCTCCGCATCAGCGAGGTGTGCACCTCGTCAATCTCGAGCCCGGCGGCCGCGAGCAGACGGCCAGCCTCGCGCGCCTCGAGCATGCCCTGCTCCGTCAGGTCGACGTCCACCCAGCCGGTGAAGCGGTTCGCCAGGTTCCACTCGCTCTGTCCGTGGCGGACCAGCACCAGCCTCGCGTGCGGCGCCTCCTCCTCCGCGGCTGCCCTCGCCGCCGTCTCCTTCCGTGCCGACGCCGCCTCGCGCGCAGCGGCGGCCTCGGCCAGCGCGATTTGGAGCTCTCTCTCGGCGGCCGCCAAGGCTGCGTCCGCATCGCCCGCCTCCACACACACAGCGCCGCAGCACGAGCTCCTGTTCTTCCGCCTGGCCGGATCGGCGACGACAGCGCCAGTGCCGTCGCGGTGAGGAGGCTAAGCATCTCCAGCACGAGGCAGCTGGCGGGCAGAGGTGAGGGCTGTGGTCGAGGAGAGGGCTTTCACAGCCTCACGAGAGTACAGTTGTAGTTGAGGTGGAGCGACGTTTTCTTTCTTTCTTCTGCAGCGTGTTTACATAATATGGGTGCGACCCTGCCTCGCCGCACGTGACCCCCCCCCCCCCCCCCTTCTCACTCCCGCGACCACACCTCGATCTTCTTCGGCAGCAGCTGGTTCGACAGGTCCTCTCCATGGCCTAGGCGGGCGCGCTCACCCTCGCCCCATGCGAGGATAGCGCCATCGGCGGTGAGGGCGAGGCTGTGGACATCCCCTGCCGACACAGCCACGACGCGCCGCGCCGCAAAGGCCTCGACCTTCTTCGGCAGCGACTGGTTCAGCTCGTCGCCGTGGCCCAGCTTGCCAGTGCCCCAGCTCCAGAGGGCTCCGTCGGCGGTGATGGCGAAGCCGTTGCACTCTCCAGCCGACACAGCGACGACGCGCTGGCCAGCAAAGGCCTCCACCTTCTTCGGCAGCAGCTGGTACTGCTCGTCGCCGTGGCCCAGCTGGCCATGGCCTCCAAGGCCCCAGCTCCAGAGGGCTCCGTCGGCGGTGATGGCGAGGTTGTGGTACCCTCCTGCCGACAAAGCGATGACGCGCCGCCCAGCCAACGCCTCGATCTTCCTGGGCAGTAGCTGGTTCTGCTGATTGCCGTGGCCCAACTGGCCGGCCAAACCACAGCCCCAGCTCCAGACAGCGCCGTCGGCGGTGAGGGCGATGCTGTGGAACGCTCCCGCCGACACAGCGACGACGCGCTGGTCAGCAAAGGCCTCGATCTTCTTGGGCAGCAGCTGCCCGTCCAGGTTGCCGTGGCCCAACCGGCCATCGTCTCCATCGCCCCAGCTGCAGACGCCGCCGTCGGCGGTGAGGGCGAGGCTGTGCATGCCTCCAGCAGACACAGCGACGATGCGCCGCCCAGCAAAGGCCTCGATCTTCTTGGGCTGCCACTGATGCTCCTCGTCGCCGTGTCCCAGCTCGCCCTGCCCGCCGCAGCCCCAGGACCAAAGGGTGCCGTCCGCGGAGAGAGCGAGGCTGAAAAGTCCTGACGCCGCCACACCAACCGCGCGCTCGCCTCCCAGCGTCGACGGGAGACGGGTCGGCGTCTTCAGCTGCAGCACGCCCTCGCCGTGGCCGAGGAGGCCTGGAAGTTCCACCTCCTCGTCGTCCTCCTCCTCCTCCTCCTCCTCGCCCTCCTCGCCCTCCGCTGCCGCCAGCCTACGCCCTCCATTGCCGCACGACGAGAGCCGCCCCTCGCCGTCGATGAAGAGGCTGTGCAGATAGCCTGCCGCCGCCCTCGCCGGCGGGTTGGACTCGCACAGCAGCGCAGCGAAGCACAGCCACCGCACGGCGCAGGTCTCGTCCTCTGGCTGCGCCGGCAGCACGTAGCCGCGCTCTTGCGCCCACAAGCGGATGGCCTCCAGCGCAAGCGAAGCGTGGAAGGGCAGCGAGACGGCCGCGACGCGAGCGATGTCGATGGGGCATTCGAAGCTGGAGAGGAGGCGCACGAGGAGCTCCGTGGGGAGGTCGAGGAGGCGGTCGGGCGGCGGCGTGCTTGGCGAGGGAGCGGTGGTGGCCGCGGGGGCGGTGAGGCGGCGCGAGCGGCGCGAGCGGCGCGGCGGGGTGGACATCGCGAAAAAAGAAATCCCAGGTACTTACAAGAAAACTTCCAGAAGAATTTGATCGTACGAACGGGCACCAGGCGGTCAGCAAGGGTTCCATCGGTGTCACGTGTCGATGTCGATGAGGAGACTGGATGCCCTACCTCCGCAGGGTTCCGGCTCCTACCCAGATAGGGGGTCTGTCCCCACCGCCCACCCAACCCAACAACCCAACCCAAAAAGCACGATTCTGAAGTTGGGCCCGAAGCCATCGGGCTCACAGCGCAGCTCAGCCATCGGCCGTAAGAAGATCAGCCATCGCCGGAGGAGTTGCATGGGGCGCGAGATCACGCTGCCTTGCGCGCCCCCTCCCAGTCCCCCGGATCTGACGGCGCAGCATGTGGTTGGGGGTGAGGTATGGGTGCTCGAGCGCGCCGCCCGTCAGAGGGCTCGTCGACACAGTCTCCAAGATGGCGGCTCCCGCCCCCGGCCGTGCTCTGGCGTGCCTCTCTAGTCCCGCCTGCCACCCAGATACCGAGGGCGGCGCGCACTCTTCGACTTGGGCTATTATCTGGCCTCGGGAGGGCGGCGGCGGCAGTGTAGGGGGGGCGGCGAGCTCCCGGTGGCAAATGCTCGCCTCACAGTCCAAGATGGCGGCTCACACGCCCAACCATGCTCTGGTGCGTCGATTGGGTCGCGTCTCTGCTGCCCGTGTCTCTGTCTTATCGGCACGACGACAACAAGCTACCCCTAACACCCTAACCCTAACCCTAACCCTAACCCTAACCCTAACCCTAACCCTAACCCGAAGAACTCGGAGCATTCACCGAGAGCTCGCGTCAACGGACCGCTGTTCCTCCATTCCGACCCGAAGCGGTCCGTTCTTAGGAGCTGCACAACGGCTTGAACTCTCTGACCCTAACCCTAACCCTAACCCTAACCCTAACCCTAATCCTAACCCTCGGCTGTGGGTCAGTCAGGCTGTGCTGTATAAGGCGCGCGAGAGGCTGGGTGCTTTGCTACCTTGCTTGTGTCTCCCGTGGCCGGGACGGTTGGTTGGGTGGTGGGGGTGGGTCGGTCGGTGGGGGTGGGTTTCCTCGCCTCATCAGCCGGGCCGTGAGGTGGGTGGGGCTGGGGGTGGGTGGGTGGTTCCAAGCCTCAGCCGGGCCGTGAGGTGGGTGGGGTGGGTGGGTGGTTCCAAGCCTCAGCCGGGCCGTGAGGTGGGTGGGTGGGTGGCGTGGGTGGCTCAAGAAGCTCGTGCACGTGAACGGCGGCGTAGAGGCACGTGGTTCGAGAAAAAAACGCAACGCTGTATGTTGTTGGCGGCGCACAGTGTGGTGGGAGACCGGTGTGAACGGCTCAACACTGTCGTGCGATTCGACCCAGCCAAGAACGCGTGGGAGGACGTGGCACCGATTGCAACGGCGCGGGTTGCTCCCCTCGTTGCCTTGCTCTAGTCTAGTTTCGGGGAGGGGGGACGGTCGACGTGCAGAGGCCCGCCCCCATTGCTAAAAATCTCTCTCTCTCTCCCAATCCGCACCCGGACCGCAGCACGCCGCAGACGAGAGTCGAGCACCTGGGCGGTAGTGGTGTTTGTCCGGTGAGTGGTGGGTCAGAGTAGCTGGTAGTGATGGGTGAGAGTAGTGGGTGAGTGCTGGGGAAGTGCGCCAAGTGGTGGAGCTGTCGGGCACGCCGGGCGCCGACGTGGACGCCATCAAGCAGCTGCGGCGCGGCACCGTCCAGTTCCTTGCCGCCCGGTCGAGCCGGGCATGGCTTTGCCGGAGTGCTCGAGCTGCTGCGCCCCTTATTAAGAAAGAAAGAAAGAAAACAGACAAACCCAAACGAGGGATGCGGAAGGACGGCCCGCGATTTGTTTTGCCGCCGTGCGTGCACTCCTTGTGTTAGGTAGTGCCACAGCTGCGTTCGGGCCCGAGGGCGCACGCATGTCGCGCTTCCAAGTCCGCCAAGATGCGCCTGGGGAAGCCGAGATGAAGCGGATACAGGCGGAGTCCATAGCTCAGGGCGAAACGTTCATCGCACCCCCCATGAATCCTTTATGCGACGCGGCCGAGCACGGCGACCTCATGTCGCTCACCAAGCTAGTATCCACGGGCAGCGACGTGAACACCACCGGTGAGAACGGCAACTCGGCCCTCGCCTTTGCGTGCGCGAACGGCCACGCCGACTGCACCGCCTTCCTGGTCAGCCGCGGCGCGGACGTGGCCCAAGTGAGCGTGCACGGCTCGTCGCCGCTGCACGCGGCATGCTGGGCGGACAGCGCGCGCTGCGTGCACATCTTGCTCGAGGCCAAGGCGGACATCAACCTGCCGACGACGGTCGGCCTGACGCCGCTCCACGTCGCAGTGCAGTCGGACCGAGACGAGATCGTGGGGCCCTCCCTGGTCGAGGCTGGACATGTCCCGGACACGTCCACCACCCGTCCACGACCCGTCCCGTAGGTTGCGCTCCTGGTCGAGCGCGGCGTCGACCGGTCGGCGAAGACGCGCGACAAGAAGACGCCGCTCCAGATCGCGCTGAGCATGGGCCGTCCAAAGTGCGAAGAGGTCGCCGTGCCGAGGCGGAGAAAAGGGGCTCGAGGTGGCCCGAGATGACCCGAGGCGGGGCCCGAGGCAGGTGCTGCGCCGCGCTGATGCGGACGAGGCGGCGCAGCGCGCGCGGGAGGCCGAGGCGCGGCGCAAGGAAGCGGAGGAGAGGGCCAACGCGGCGGCGGAGGCGCTGCTGGCAGAGCTCGCTATAGAGGAGGCGGGCAAGACGACGGGTGGCCGCGGAGGCGGCGGCGGGGGGGGCGCGAGTGGTGGCGGCGGCGCGAGCGGCGGCGGCAGCGGCCGGCAGGCCAAGAAGCGGGCGGCTCAGAGGGCTAAGGCGGCAGAGGCGGAGAGGGCGGCGGAGCGGGCGGCGCTGGAGGCGTCGAGGGCGGAGGAGGAGGCGGCGGCGGCCGAGACGTCGGCGAGCGACGGGGAGGCGCGCGGCGACGAGAACTGCGGAGAGAAAGGAGCACCGGCGGCGGTGTCGAAGTTCATGATACCGGGAGATGCGGGGCGAGATGGGGAGAGATGGGGAGAGATGGGGAGAGATGGGGGAGAGATGTGACTGAGCACTGACAGGCGCCCGTCGACGAGGACTCGCTAGCGGCGAGCGCACTGCTCGCTAAGGGCGGGCGGGGCGGCGGGCGGCGCGGCCAGTTGTTGGCCAGCGGCCCGCTGCGCGGCGCGGCGCCCAAGCGTGCCGGCGCGGCGACGGCGCGCTGCCCGCATTGCGGTTCGCGCGCGAGGCCGACGCCTGCTGGCATGTGCCCGAGCTGCGCGCGAGAGGTGCGGCCGGCGGCGGCGGAGGCTGCTGCTGGGAATGGGGCCGCGAGATCGGGCGGAGATGCCGGGCGCGAGCGGGAGTGAAGGAATGTTGCTGTGTCTTTTGAACCAGGCGCCGCCCTTTCGACTCTTGCTGTCGCCCTCGCCGTGTGTTTGTCGAGCTTCCGCATGTAACGCGCCTCCTCCGTATTTCACACAAGCGGTGCTAAGAAAATTCTTTTTTGGATCATTTCGAAATTCTTTTTGAGCTAGACATGTTAATACCATGTTAAGGCACACACAACATGACGCCAAACACACGATTGCACGCACCGCACCGCACCCCGCCGCGCCCGCCCGCCTATTCATTTTAATTTTTGTGCACCTGTCGCGTGAATCGTGTCGTGCGACCGCCTTGGGTCGTAAAATTCTTTTTCACACCTTGTGGCTCCTCGACCTGTGTGGGCTCCTACCAATCGTGCCTGCTTCGATCTCAAATCGGATGTCGACCGTTTGGACTCGCTGGACCGTCGGGCCGCGGGCGTTGCTCGGTGCTCCTCACCTAGCCCCCGATCGAGAGGTGGAGGTGCCGGCAGCCGCCCGCGCTGCCTGGGAGGCGATGGGCGGCGGCGAGCTCGAGGAGAGCCTCCTGTCAAGCCAAGTCGTGCTGGTAGACGCGGCCTGGCTCATTGGCCTCTCTTCGAGCGGCGGCAAACTGCCTCCGCGGCAGGCCCTGCCGCCAGAGGCGGTGCTCTCGCCGAGCGAAGCGGTCGCGGCCTGCCGGTCGCGGCCTCCGGCTGGCTCGACTGCCTGCTGTGAGCAGGCCTCTCGGAACTCCTCGGAACCTGTCCTCTAGGTCTGGCTGGCCCGACTGCTTGCCTGTGGTGTGTGTCTCGCACGCCTGGCTCTCTGCAGAGCACCCCGACCCTCGCGGCAGCACGCTCGCCTCGCTCGCCGGCGCTCTCCAGCCGCTTGTGGAGCGGCGAGGCCGCCACGGCGTGCTGCTCGACTACTGCTCGATCCACCAGCGCTGCCGCGACGCAGCCGGCGCCGCCACCAGCGCATGCTTTGCGCCGGATCACGCAGCCGGCGTGGTCGGCCTGTACGCCTCCGAGGAGGCGCTGCGCAGGGCGGCGGAGCGAGCTGAGCTCGTGTGGCTCTCTCACCCGCACACGCAAGTCGCGCTGCTCGCGCCTCCGCCGCCGCCGTCCGCGTCGCGCCAGCAGCAGCTCCGGCAGCAGCAGGGGCAGCAGCAGCAGGGGCAGCAGGGGCAGGGGCAGCAGGGGCAGGGGCAGGGGCAGGGGCAGGGGCAGGGGCAGGGGCAGGGGCAGCAGGGGCAGCGTGGGCAGCTCTCTTCGGCCGCCTCTCTCGCGGTGGAGGAGGCGCTCGCCACCCTCGTCAAGGGGGGCACGCGCGTCCACTACCTATGCCAACCTGCCGGGACCGAGCCTCCTTGCGCCACAGAGACTGTTCTGCCAGAGGCGAGGTGCGGCAGGGTCCCCGCCGAGGCCCCTACCCCCCACAGTACCCGCACCCATCCCCTACCCCCACAGTATCTGAACCCAGGTGCGGCGGGAGCCCGGCCGAGGTGCCGCCTCGGCCCCCGCACTCCTCCTCCTCCTCGGCTCTCGCCGGCGCGTCGCCCACGTTCGGCCGCTCTCCGGCGTGCCGCACCCCTGGAGGAGATCTGGGGAGATATGGGGAGACATGGGGAGACATGGGGAGATATGGGGAGATATGGGGAGATCGTTCGGCCGCTCTCCGGCGTGCCGCACCCACCCCCCTCCTCTCGCCACGCCCTCCTCGAGACAAAAGGGCTCCTCCCCGCCTCTCCCGTCACACCTCGGGCTCACCCCGCGCCACCCCGCGCCATCGCTGTCCCGCCGCTCCTCTCCGCCTCGATCTCCCCATGTCTCCCCACATCTCCCCACATCTCCCCAGCTGTCCCGCCTCAGGCTCCTCTCCGCCGCCCTCCGCTCCAGCCAGCAGACCTCGCGCGCGCGCCACGAGGTGCGATCTCCCCATGTCTCCCCATATCTCCCCATATCTCCCCACACCTCTCGCGCGCGCCACGAGGAGCAGACCTCCCGACCGCACGCCTCTGCCAACCCCCCCCCCCCTCGGGGGACACCCCCCCCCCCCCCCCGGCCACCCCCCCACTCCCCCATCAGCAACCCCCTAGGAAGTGCACCTCCCGCCGGCCGACGGCTCTCCCGAAGGCGCTTCGCCGAAGGCTCTCCCCGCCGCCTGCTCGCAGGTCAAGAGCCTGCTGCCGCCGCCGCCTACCGCAGCGTGTACGGCGCGCGGCTGGCGGCGGTCGAGGAGCAGACATCACTCGCGCGGCTCGGCGGATCTCGGGGAATCTCGGCCGATCTCGGTGCGGGAGGAGCGGTTCGTAGGAGCAGACATACGCGCGGCTCGGCTGGGGCTGCGCAGAGGCGGCGGCTGTGGCGGCCGCCCTCCGCTCGATCTCCCCACATCTCCCCACACCTCCCCGCATCTCCCCAGGCGGCGGCTCTGGCGGCCGCCCTCCGCTCAGGCTGCATGCGAAACCTGCGCAGCGTCAGCTGCTTGGACAACGCAATCGGGAACGACGGGGCCGCCGCACTGCCTCTGTCTGCCCAGCCTGCTGCAGCGGCCCGCCGAGGGCTGTGGCAACTGTGGCTGGCGGAGGGGGGGGTCGCCTCCTCCGCCGCTGTCGCTGCTGTTGCGCCAGCCCTCGGCGGCGTCTGCACGACGATGCGGTGATTGAGGGGCTGGACCACGCGGTTGTTGAAGTCGTTGCCGTCCTGCCCAAAGAAGTGTCTAGGAAGTGTCACCACACGCCAGAGAAGTGTCTAGGAAGTGTCCTGGCTGCCAGAGAAGTGTCAGAGAGGTGTCAGAGAACTGCCAGAGAGGTGTCAGAGAGGTGTCCCGCCAGAGAAGTGGATCGTCGTCGGTCAATGTCACACGAGGGTGTGGTGGCCTCGAGGGGTGACGTCGAGTGAGGATGTACGTCGTGGGCGTGTCTGGTGTTTATTAGCTCCGAGTAGAGGGGGCGCTCCCGCCGCTGCTAGGGGAAACCCGGAGCGCGGAGCCAACCCTCGGAGACCCGTGTTTACTTTAAGGCCCTTGCCCTGCGAATGCGCACCCCCCCTAGCTAGGGGTCAGGGCTCTCTAGCCCGTAGCCCGATCCCGATCATCCGGCCCGCTGGGTGCGCTTCTTAGCTCCCCGGCCCTGGATGTGAGGCTGCCAACTGCACTCCAAGTGCTCCAAGTGCTCTGCAAGTGCTCCAAATTCTGCGCGGAGGATTATTCGATCGAATTCCTGCGGCCCACTGTGCGCCAAGAGCCGCCACAGGAAAAGAATTACGTAGGGCGCCGCACTATTCCAGAAGGATAATTTTTTGAAGGGCTGCCAGGCCGGCTTGCTGCGCAAATCTCGCGCTGCGCTAGGGTTGTTGTGCGAGTATATGCAATATGGGACAAAAGCGTCGAAAATGTCCGAAAAAAGCGTGTCTCGAGTTTGTGGCAGCCCCACAGCCTGCGCGCGCTGCCAGGAAGCACCGCTCGCGTGTCGGCGGCACTCCCTGGCACCCAGGGAGTGCCGCGAACCGACCAGACCGAATAGGCTCGACGCCGCGCTCGCTGTGGGGCTGCCACAAACTCGCCGCCGAACGTGCCACCGACGGCGTCCTGGCGGAGGTGGTGGAGTTTGAGAACTGAGGCTGCGGAGGTGACGCCTGAGGTACCGGCCCGTGCACAGCGACTCAGCCGGCGACCGCCACGGGCTCAGACGAGACTTGTCGACGCGTTCCGGCTCAGCTTCACCGTGGTCCTCGGGCGTCTGTCGACGTCAGGACCACCCATACAGTTCGCGGGTTTGAGGTCGCAAGAGCCAAGATGGTGGCGTTTGGACATCCCAACCATCACACAAGACAGCCTGTAGGTGATGGCGGGACGGCGCAGTGTTTGTGGCACTCGGCAGTAGGCACCCGCGGCACGGCCCCGCTGTCGGCTCTCGCGGGCTGCGGAACCGGCCCCCGAAGGGGACGGTCCGGGCGAGTGTGGCGAGCTCCTGCGCTAGTATGGGCACCCTCTATCACAACACTACTGATCCTGGTCATTAGAGCTGCCAGAGATAGCGTCAGGAGCCGGTAGGAGTCAAAACCCCTCATATTTGAGACATCGTGTCCCATATACTCGCACAACAACCCGCTAGGCTCAGAGCGAGTTCGCGCTGCGCTAGGCTCAGACAGCGTGCGTGCGCGGGCCGCCGGGGTGAGGACCACCCCACCTCCTTCCACGGGCTCGGCAGCTTGTCGCTTGTCGGGCTCTACCTCAGCCCTCAAACACAAGCTGGGGCCGGTCCCGTAGGCCGTCCGTAGCCGAGAGAGCCCCCGCGTCCCGATGAATTCGACGGGCGCCTCGAGACGGGCGCGGGGTCGGCCGTCGGGGGGTGGGAGCGCAGCCCGCAGGCGCACGCGCCGCATTCCCAGCCCCTTTTGCTTTTCCAAAAAGGTCCCTTGGTTTGAGGGCAGATTTTGATTAGTAGAACGGTCCCTTGTGTCGCTGGTGCGCTTGGTCCTTCTTTGAAGCTATTTACAATGACCACCTCACGCTGGATGGAAGGACCGAATCGATGCGAGCGCGTAAACTCGATGCCGGGGATGTCGAAAGCCAGCTCTCGGCAAGGGAGGCCGTGAAGAGGTCGCGGCTCGCACTCCCCCGCCCGCCTCCTCCGCTGAAGCACCTCCACGAAGGCGCGCCGCCGCTCTGCCCTCGCTGCCGGCGCTGCAGGCGGCACTAGGAAAGATGAGCCGAGGTCTGCCGCGATCTGCCGAGATCTGCCCTCGCTGCCGGCGCTGCAGGCGCTCGACTTGCGACGGAACGCCGTCGGCGACGCAGGGGCCAGCGCCCTCGCTGCGGCTTTGCCAGCGGCCAGAGAGTTGAGGGGCTTGCCCCTTCCCCCCCCCCCCCCCCTCCGGCACCCCACCCCCCCCACCCCCCCCCGCCTCTCCTCTGAGCAGGCAGCTCTTTCTCGGGGGCAACGCGGTGGCCGACGCCGGGGCAGCCGCCCTCGCCGCGGCGCTTCCTCGCTGCTCGACCGCACTCAAGGAGCTCCCCCGAGATCCCCCGAGATCCCCCGAGATCCCCCGAGATCTGGCTGCTCGACTGCGCCCGTGGAGACATCCCGCCCCACACCTCCACACACCTCGCAGGCCCTGCTCTCGCACCCGCCGGCGTGCCGGCTCACACACCTCGGGTGATCTCGGGTGATCTCGGGTGATCTCGGGCAGGAGATCGACCTCCTCGGCGTCTGTCCGGCGGCGCGCCGGCGTGGCGTGGGTGTTGGGCCGGCGGCCGAGGCGGCTCTGCGCGCAGCCTGCAACGCGCGCCGGGTGCGTGTCTACCTCCGCCACGTCGACGTCACGCGCTGCTCGTACGAGGAGCCGCCGCCCGCCGTTCCGCGCAAGGCGAGGCCGGTGATGACGGTGCCGTCCTTCTTCCGAAGAGGGCAGAACGTCCGCACCTAGCGGGTCTTCGTTGTGTTGGAGCCTTCCTCGAAGTGTATTAAAGTAGTGACACTACACACAGGTCACAGCAGTCAGCAGACAGCACACTCTCTCTCTCTGTAAGATCGCACGGGCGGGGACCCCTGTTCCTTTTTACCCCATCTCACAGAGTACGGGGGAAGGACCGTGAGTTGACGGAAATCGGAGGACGCGACCCACTTCGCCACAGACGGTCCCGCGCCTCGCCGCTATGACGGCCACACGACCGCAGCTCGTGTGCGTGTGGCCGTCTTTGTCCGGAGTGAATACTCCAACGCGCTCGTCGGTGACGGTGTCCTCCAACCTGTGCCGCGCTCGGCGAACCTCGACAGCGCCTTCGGTGGCATGCAGCTCTTTGCGCCTGAAGCCTGGAGTGAAGCTCCTCTGCTGCTCACACACTCTGCACAGATGACACAGCCCACTGTGCGGCTGCCACAGCTGTGACAGCGATGGGCTCGCCCTCACTGGCCCTCAGTCACTTGTGCTGCGGCTTGTGTGAGCGACACTGCGCGGCGACTGCCGGCACACTGTGACGAGACCATGGGTGTGAGGTAAAACCATGCTACCAGCGCTTGGTCACATCGGCCCCGAGGTCAGATCCTTCTACTCTGTTGATGACAACACTTGTCTACTCGCTGGAGCCGAGCAGGAGGGCTTGGCGCACAACCCCTGTTCAACTCAGGGTCCTTCCCCTTTAGAGCGATGACCGATGTCCGTTGTTATTTATTTACTCCCGCCTCTCGGGCCACATCTCGCGATGTGACGTACACAGTGCCACCGCCGCCGCCGCCGATCCGGACGGCCGCCCCGCCCCCTGTTTTCCTGAAAGGGGTCCCACACCCCACAAAAAAGGGGCAGACGTCTCGGCCGTTATATAGCGCCCCCGGAGGGGATATGTAGCGCGCCGACCGATATGTACCGCCCCGGACCGATACATAACACCGGACGATATTTAGCGGGGTTCGCGCTACATACCGGGACCGCTACATACCGCGCTCAGACGCGATATATCGGAGGGGCCACTTTCCTGACGACAGAGTCACAGTGGAGCCGATCACCCGTTCGAGGTTCGAGCCGTGGAGCGTTGTTATTTATTTATTTACTCCACCCGCCTCTCGGGCCACATGCACATCTCGATGTGACGTACACACAGTGACACATCAGCTATCATGCCGCGTCAGCTCGACCCGCCCGCTCCTCCTCCTCAAATTCCGGCGCTGCAAACATGGCGTCGAGCAGACCGGAGACGTCGCGCTCCACCACACCGCCGCCCAGAGCCGCCGCCGCCTCCGCCGCCGCCTCCTCGGCCGACACCAACTCCTCCGCCCCCTCCTCCGCCCCCTCCTCTACCGCTCCCTCCGCCTTAAAGATGCTGTCAATGATGAGCTGCTCTCGCCGCTGCCGCTCCTCCTCCGCCTGCGCCTCGCCGCTCGCGCGGCGGCGCTCCTCCCGCACCGCCTTGCGATCGAGGTAGACCTAACGAGTCCAGCTAGGGTGCATCGATGGACCCCTCCCCCAGTCCTCCTCGCGCGCCGAAGCTCGACGGACCGGGTTCTCGCCAACCCCGAACATGGGGCAATCGGCGCACCCGCGGCCGGGGCAGTTTGTGCAGCGCATTGCCCCAGAGCTGAAGGACTTGGCCTGCGAGGGCGCGAGGGCGGTTCGCAAGGTGAGCGCCATCACGGATCACTGTGGTGGGGCAAGCCATTCAAAGTGCAAGGCCCGGTTCACGCGAGCGGGCAACGCCTGCGTCGGCGGCACGGCGGCGGTGCCCTCCTGCTGGCTGCGCAGCCGCTGCGCGTTGTTGATCTGCTGCCCCTCCCTCTCCTTCTCGAGGATGACCTATGGGCAATCGCGGGTAAATCCCGGGAAACCTCGGGCAGTCTCGGGCAATCCCGCTCGACAGGGACGTGTCCAGGAAGCGTCTCTCCCTCCCCTAGCTGTTGTCTCCCTCGCCTAGCTGTTGCAACCAGGCCCTCGTGCGACGGATGCAAGACACGAAATGTCCAGGGAAGGTCTAGGAAAGGTCTAGGAAGTGACCAGGTCCTCGTGCGACACGTAGTGGATGCAAGACACGGGGCAAGAGTCGATCGCCTGCGAGATGACCCGAGATGACCCGAGATGACCCGAGATGACCCGAGATGACCCGAGATGACCAAGACCCGAGGGAAATGTCAAACGGAGGGCCTCGGCTCCCTCTTGCACGAGCTGTGCCGGAGATTTCTAGGAGTGTCGAGGGGATGTAAGAGATGTTGCACAGGAGATGTCTAGGAATGTGAGATGTCTAGGACATGTCTAGGAAAGATCACCTCTTGCACCAGCTCGTCCGAGTCGCCTGCCTGGTCAAAGACGCGCGCGCGGCCGTGATCCTCCTCCATGAAGAAGGTGCCTCGCGCCGTGGTTGCGCAGTAGGTGCAGCCGATGCAAGAGTGCTCGTCGACGTACGTGAAGCGCGCCTGGAGCGGCTCTCCATCTTCGTCGAGCTCGAGGTGAAGGTGGGACGCCTCGGCCGTGTTGGCCGTCGGCGTCTCACGCGACGAGTCCCACAGCGCGTCGAGGAGACCCTCACGGTCGGAGGAGCTCATGCGGAGTGCAGCGCCACTCTGCCGGTGCGGGAGCAGGCTGCTCGACCAGGCTATCGCCGCGACAGATGCCATCCGTGGCGTGAATCCTATAGGATTCTCGCCCGCTCTGCTGAGGGGAGGGCGGCTCGACTGGGCCGGTCGCTCGACCCGATTCTACTCTACTCTCAGTCTTACCATTCATGGACGACGGGGCACACGCACTCGCGGAACACAGGGCATTACACACGAGGCGTTGTGTGCGTTCTCAGGGATGGACATCTCGCTGCAGGCACTCGCGGGGCCGTGAGTGGGGGTCCCGACTGCTGCCCCTCTGACTATACTTTTGTCTGTGGTGATGTGTGTGTGTGTGTGTGTGGAGATAAAACTTCTGATTCCATGCATGACCTAGTAGTGTCCCCAGCTATGGGCGTGTCCACGTTGGAGCCACCGACCTGTTGTCTCACCCTGGCCCCCAAGATCGTTTTGGTCGTCACATTGTGATCCCCGACGTCGTCAAATGTCGCCCGCCTGTCCTTCCCCCCGTTCTCGTCTGGTAATCTCATCTTATTATCCCATCGATGCTTGAGGCTGGCTACTGCCACTTCGCTCCACAACCGTCCCGCCACCCCTGCCGTGTGCGACCCCGGCCTCACTGTCTTTCGATATTGCTCGCACACCCACTCGTGCGCGCTCTTACACATGTGTCCGTACGTCCGTCGGTCCACTATCTCCCTCTTCTCTGCGTTCTCTGCCGCTGTGCTGTGAGAGAGGCGCAGGAGAATTCTTTTTCTCGCGATGTCCACCCCGCCGCGGCGCCGCTCGCGCCGCCTCGCCTCCGCCGCCACCGCCGCTCCCTCGCCAGACACACAGCGGCCCACCCGCCTGCTCGACCTCCCCACGGACCTCCTCGTGCGCGTCGTCTCTCGCTGCGACCCCGCCGACATCGCTCGCGCCGCGGCCGTCTCACTCCTCTTCCACGCCTCGCTTGCGGTGGAGGGCATCCGCTTGCGGGCGCAAGAGCGCGGCTACGAGCTGCCGGCGCAGCCAGAGGGCGAGGGCTGCGCCGTGCGGTGGCTGTGCTTGTCTGCGCTGCTGTGCGAGTCCAACCCGCCGGCGAGGGCGGCGGCTGGCGGGTATCACAGCGTCTTCATCGACGGCGAGGGGCGGCTCTCGTCGTGCGGCTCAGCGCCGTCCTACTCTCCAGCCCTGCTCGGCCACGGCGAGGGCGTGACGCGGCTCAACACGCCGACCCGCCTCCCTTCTCCGCTGGGCGGCGAACGCGCCGTGAGCGTGTCGGCTGGAGGACACCACAGCCTCGCCCTCACCGCCGGCGGTGCTGTTTGGAGCTGGGGCGGTGGAGAACACGGCCAGTTGGGCCACGGCGACGAGGAGGAGCAGTGGCAGCCGAAGAAGGTCGAGGCTTTTGATGGCCAGCGCGTCCTCGCTGTGGTGGCAGGAAGCGCACAAAGCCTCGCCCTCATCGCTGACGGCAGTGTCTGGAGCTGGGGCTGGGGCAACTCTGGCCGGTTGGGCCACGGCGACCAGCAGGACCAGCCGCAGCCAAAGAAGGTCGAGGCCTTCGCTGGTCAGCGCGTCGTCGCTGTCTCGGCTGGAGAGGCTCACAACCTTGCCGTCACCGCCGACGGCGCCGTGTGGAGCTGGGGCCGTGGAGCCTATGGCCGGCTGGGCCACGGCGACCAGCAGAACCAGCTGCTGCCGAAGAAGGTCGAGGCCTTGGCTGGCCAGCGCGTCGTGAGCGTGTCGGCTGGACAGCACCACAGCCTCGCCCTCACCGTCGACGGCACCGCCTGGAGCTGGGGCGATGGAGACTACGGCAAGCTGGGCCACGGCGACGAGCAGCGCCAGTGGCAGCCAAAGAAGGTCGACGCATTTGCTGGCCGGTGCGTCGTCGCTGTGTCGGCGGGATACGGCCACAGCGTCGCCATTACCGGTGACGGTGCTGTCTGGAGCTGGGGCAATGGCGAATATGGCAGGTTGGGCCACGGCGACCAGCAGCACGAGTGGCAGCCCGAGAAGATCGAGGCCTTTGCTGATCAGCGCGTACGACACGTCGCTGCGTCGGCGGGAGGCTCCCACAGCATCGCCATCACGGCCGACAGCGCGGCCTTTACCTGGGGCGAGGGCGAAGATGCTTGCCTAGGCCACGGAGAGGACCTGTCCAACCAGCTGCTGCCGAAGAAGATCGAGACGTGGGCACCGGGGCAGTGATAGAAGGACGAAAGGGTGCAAGCTCTGTATCCGTGTCGCCCATGTGCCTATCGCCACCTGCGAACGTAACCCGAAAGTGGTGAATCTCGAACGGTGGAGATTTATGATTGCGCACGTCCAGCCCATAGTGGTGTCGAGTCTTTGGATCGCGTTGCAGAAGCCGACGAGTTCACAAAGGCACACCGGAGCCGCTTTCCTGAACGCCGCGGTATTTTCCCTCGTGCTGCGAAAAGAAAGAAAGAAAGAAAACAGACAACCCAAGGGAGGGATGGGAGAACGGCACGCCGCCACCACACAGGGATTTTAAGGAGAGGAGTGTGATGCGCTAGCCGTCGCCTACCCTAGGGAGTCTGCCTCTTCCTATCTCTCTTCGCAGTCTCTCTCCGATTCTCGCTTCAACCTTCGTGCCACCTCGCGGTGCCGCGAGAGAGTTGGAGCACTTGGAGTGCAGTCGGCAACCTCACATCCAGGGCCGGTGAGCTGAGAAGCGCATCCAGCGGGCCGGATGATCGGTATCGGGTTACGGGCTAGAGAGCCCTAGCCCCGGGGGTGCGCGTTCGCAGGGCAAGGGCCTTAAGTTGTTTTCGATCTTTCTTCGCGATGTCCACCCCGCCGCGGCGCCGCTCGCGCCGCCTCGCCTCCGCCGCCACCGCCGCTCCCTCACCAGACACGCCGCCGCCCACCCGCCTGCTCGACCTCCCCACGGACCTCCTCGTGCGCGTCATCTCTCGCTGCGGCCCCGCCGACATCGCTCGCGCCGCGGCCGTCTCACTCCTCTTCCACGCCTCGCTTGCGGTGGAGGGCATCCGCTTGTGGGCGCAAGAGCGCGGCTTCGAGCTGCCGGCGCAGCCAGAGGGCGAGGGCTGCGCCGTGCGGTGGCTGTGCTTGTCTGCGCTGCTGTGCGAGTCCAACCCGCCGGCGAGGGCGGCGGCAGGCGAACTTCACAGCGTCTTCATCGACGGCGAGGGGCGGCTCTCCTCGTGCGGCTCTGCGCCATCCTTCTGTCCGAGCCTGCTCGGGCACGGCGAGGGCGTGACGCAGCTCAACACACCGACACGCCTCCCTTCCCCGCTGGGCGGCGAGCGCGTCGTGAGCGTGTCGGCTGGAGATGCGCACAGCCTCGCCCTCACCGCCGGCGGCGCCGTCTGGAGCTGGGGCGATGGACACCTTGGGCGGTTGGGCCACGGCGACCGGCAGGCTCAGCTGGAGCCGAAGAAGATCGAGGCCTTGGCTGGCCAGCACGTCGTCGCTGTGCTGGCAGGAGGCGAACACAGCCTCGCCCTCACCGCTGACGGCAGCGTCTGGAGCTGGGGCCATGGAGGCTTTGGCCAGTTGGGCCACGGCGACCAGCAGATCCAGCCGCAGCCAAAGAAGATCGAGGCCTTTGCTGGTCAGCGCGTCGTCGCTGTGTCGGCTGGAGCATTCCACAGCCTCGCCCTCACCGCCGACGGCGGTGTCTGGAGCTGGGGCGGTGGCGTCGACGGCCGGTTGGGCCACGGCGACCAGCAGAACCAGTGGCAGCCAAAGAAGGTCGAGGCCTTCGCTGGGCGGCGCGTCGTCGCTGTGTCGGCTGGATATAGCTACAGCTTCGCCCTCGCCGCCGACGGCGCCGTTTGGAGTTGGGGCTATGGAACCTTTGGGCGGTTGGGCCACGGCGACGCGCAAGGCCGGCTGCTGCCGAAGAAGATCGAGGCCTTTGCTGACCAGCGCGTCGTCGCTGTGTCGGCTGGAGATGCGCACAGCCTTGCCCTCACCGCCGACGGCGAGGTCTGGAGCTGGGGCTATGGAGGCTTTGGCCAGCTGGGCCACGGCGACCAGCAGAACCAGCTGCTGCCGAAGAAGGTGGAGGCCTTGGCTGGGCGGCGCGTCGTCGCTACGTCGGCGGGATGCGACCACATCCTCGCCCTCACCGCCGACGGCGCCGTCTTCACCTGGGGCGAGGGCGGCCACGGCCGCCTAGGCCACGGCGACGAGCAGCGGCAGCAGCTGCCCAAGAAGATCGAGGTGTGGGCGCAAGGGCTGTCTGCTTGAGTAGAAAGAAAGAAAACAGACAGGCCAGCGAGGGATGGGGGAGGAGGACAGGGTCCCCATTGAGTGCGTGATTCGAATTCTTTTTCTGCTCAAACAAAATGGCGGACTCAGTGGCCGCCATCACGGGCCTCGACTCCGAGGAGGACGAACTAGTGGAAATCCCGCGGTTGAGCGTTGTCGCTCAGCTGTAACGATGCACCCGAAGGGGACCCCAGCGCCAGCAGCAGCCGTGGAGGTACAAGTGTTCGAAGAGAGAGTGGACCTGAGCAACGACACGACTGGGTGGCAAATGATCGCAGTGGGCGTCAGAAGACTCGTCCTTGCGCGTGGCATCGTTGAGTGTGGAAAAAGAACTTCCTCGGTTGAGGCTCTCTCGCGTCCTCGGCACTCGGACTGGAGCCGGGCGGCGATTGTTGGCGGGCGAGCAAGCGAGAGGCAGTCTTCCATGTGCGCGCGATCGAAGCGATTCCAGGGTCGTCCGCGGCGCGTTCCCGGCGGCCCGACGGTGGCCGGCGCTTGCGCGCCAGCCCCGTCCGCCGCCGGCTCCGCGGCCGCGGTCCCTGTCATAGCTACGCGCACCATGGGGCGACGTGCCGAGTGCAAGTGACGGGAAGGAGCCCATCGTTGCCTGAGTTTCAAGAAAGAAC